CGATCGTTTCGCTGTTTCCCGTTTCGAATTCTGATGTGAAAATTGATAAGCTTTACTGAGTTAGTACTATTTATCCTAAACAAATAACATCTGTGGGCTGGTTTCTTTTTTATTACAGTACCCGCTCCTGTCCGCACATGGTGGACGACGATCGACAAGGCAAACACCAATCGTTGTTGGACTCGAGGCATACCCCGATTCTCTTTCATTGAACAACGTCTGTGCTGTGTGTTCCAAGTTTTTGCCCAACACATGAACCCATTTTATCAAAAGACCTGTTATTTTACTTCACCTTGAATGCAGCCCATCACCTCGTCAATCACACATAACACAATTATCTCCACCATACCAGAATGAGTCCTACCAATCGGTTATCGTTGCACTTCCTGATCATCTCCATTCTCCAATTAACCAATTGCCAGCGTGAAACATCAAACATCCCTTAGTCCTACTGTGTGCAGAAGGACACGAAAATAAACTCAGCATCCCGTATCGTATCACCTTGCCTCCCCTCACCCCGCCCTACCGCCATGAACACCACCAGAGGCTTAGCGTCAACATTCTAACCCGTCCCATGGACAAGACTCGTAGTTGCGGCAGGTGTATCTCCCCCTCTCCCTTCCACACATCAAACAGCATCTGACCGTCCATCCGGCGCTCGGCGCATCCTTTCAACAACCGCGCGACGACACAGGGCGTCTCTGGCGCACGGGCGGGGTCAAAGTTCAGTAGTCGCGTACCCTGTCGGCCTGGTTTTGTTCTCCGCCGCCTTCGTTTTAAGCAGGTGCCTATGCACCTATGTAAGTACTTCCTTGGTAGAAATTAATAGGTACATTGTAATGTTTTGTTTAACCCACATAAAGCACGAACATGAAATAATGCTCATCGCTGGCGATTGCGAAAGGAATATTCGGCCATAAAGGAGAGGGTAGAGGGCCGAAGGCATGCACATTGCACAAGTCGAGACAGTGAGACAGTGTCAACAGTAAACACCTTGAAAAGCGTTTGACTTAATAACAATGCTCCAACAAACTTATTTTGTAAGCGAGAAGTCTCTGCCTGCTTCCAAATAGCCGCTGAAATTGAATGAATATCGCCGAATTTGGTTGCTGCTGTTCTAAATATCGTGCGGCCGTCTCCAATTTCCAGCGGCATCGCCGAAATACAATGCGGACACGCCGGAACCGGGCGTCTTTTGCTGCTGCGCCGAAATTAAATGCTCTAATGCCAATCATCGCTATAAACGGCCGACATGCAATGCTATACTGATACATAGCTTTGCGGTTTGTCTACAAATAATCCGCTAGGTCTAAAATGGACGCGTACGTACCGAAATAAACTGACAAAAGGTGTATATGTCTATTCTGTGATTTTATATGATTTTTTGAACATATGTCGTTTTTGGTCGAAAACTCAGAAATCATGACGTCACTAAAAGCTCGATATCTCAAAAATTTTCCGACCGATTTTTTTGAAACTTTGTCACAATAAACTTCAATCAATTCCCTACAGGTACCCAAAATTTGGCGCGCCTGCGGGGCGCCGTTTTTATGCTATAGCCCGGCAAAAAAAGTGGGGGCGTTTAACGCCCCCCCCCCCCCCAGCAACTCGCGGGTTAACACGCGCAGTGGAAGGGGGGGGCGGATTTCGCCCACCCCTCCTGTTTTTCGCCAATAACTCGCGCCGCAAGCATAATATCAATGTGAAATTTTGGCTACATGTCCAGAATTGAATTGCGGATCTTCTCGTGCAAGAAGTAAGAAAATCGGTTCACAACTTTTCTAGTAATGCGGTGTAAAGTCAAACATCCTGCCGCCGCGGCGACGCGGCGGCCGGCGCTAGCCGTTACGCGCCGCCTGAATTGTAGACTGTGCCGGGGCGGGATGGTACCGTCTTTACATCGCGCTCCTTACCGCTGATTATATTAGATTCGCGTCAAATTCGGTGAGAAGACTGAGAAATGTACAGGCAATCATATCGTCAAAGAATTTTGAAAATCGGCCGGTAACAACTTGAGTTATGAGTGTGTAAACACAAAATTGTGATTGCCGCGTTTCCCGCGTCGGCCGATGCCGCTTCAGCCGGCGACATCTTACCCTTAGCAGGCATCTAACTGCCATATTTGTTGTTGGATTATCTAGAAATTCACCATACATACTCACAAATGTTTGCTCTTTCGTATAGTGAAAGATTTAAAAAAATCGGCCGGTAACTTTTTGAGTTATCGGCGTGTAAACGCAAAAAAGTCGCTAATATGGCCGATTCGACCACATTTGACCTCATTTGACCTTGAAGATATTGACCTAGGGTCATGAAATTCACACACAACAGAGTTCCCCATGGCCCCCACCTACCCTCCAAATTTCGTCTTTCTAGCTCCAGTGGGAGCTGAAATCTTACTGGGCGTAGTACTCGCAACCCTTCCACTGCGCGTGTTAACCCGCGCCCTGCTGGGGGGGGTGTTTGAACACCCCCCCTTGTGGTTTTTCGCGAATATCTCAAAAACGGCGGCGCGGAGCGCCGCCGTTTTTGGTACACCTTATCATACATCAATTCTACATATGTTGTGAAAATTTCAGACCAAGGTCATTCAAGGTCAGGTCACCAGGTCACTTGAAGTGACCTCACCTCATAAAAACTTTCAATGTCTGTCATAGCTATACCGAGTGACCGATCGCTTTGAAACTTTCAGCGATTGCTAAGAGCAATAGCATGTACAAAATGTATATCTCAGAATTTTGATACCGATGACCTAAGGTCAGGTCAATTTTGCGACCTCCCCATTATAAGTCAATGGGAGAAAATTGAAATGCGCCTCTTCTGGATGAAAGACATTATAAACACTCCCAAACACCGAATTACAAGTGGTTTAGACACACTGAACTTGAAAATGGTGTCCGTGACCCTTGTTTATGCCCTGAGGTCATCTTAGGTCACGAATGGTATCTAACAGTTTTTCGCAAATAACTTTTGATAGAGGCATGCTAGAGCGATGAAAACGCCTTAGATGTGTTCAGCTCGACGATACGGATCGACTGATATGCAACATGACCCTTCCCGGTCAGGTCATGACCTTGACCTGAGGTCAAATTTTCAAGTTGACCTTTCAAGGTCAAGTTATAGTTCATTCGATGCGTCTTGACGAGAGGAACACGATGCCGGTAAAAGTAAGCTCGTACAAGGATTGGGTCAAAAGTTATTGCAGAAAAACTGTTTTCGAAAAAATCGGCTATTTTTGCAGTTTTTGCCCCCTGCAGGCAAAACCGTTGACGTTAGGTCAAATCTGAGAGAATTACTCAGAAAGGGCGTTAATAGGGCTATCGAATGCGCTTTTCCGCGGCGCTGTAGCTCTATTGGTTCCCGAGTTATGCGTTGGCTTCTTGGAAATTTTCGACATTCGACCTGGAAATCGGCGAAATTTTGCCTTCAATGACCTCTGGTGACCTGACCTTTGACCCGACCGAAAAATTGACCGAAGTGATTTCGTCATTATTTTTTACGCTCTTTCGAACGCCGCCTTCCGCGTATCGCTACGTGGCCCAGGAGCCGAGTTACAAGGGGGGGTGTTCAAACACCCCCCCCCCCCAGCAGGGCGTGGAAATCCAGGACCCCCAGCAGGGCGCGGGTTAATAGACAAGCCTATAACTGTTACGTGAGTGAAGTAGCCTTCGTCGCTTGAAAATAGCTGACAAATCCCGTAACCGGCATACGAGACCGTCCATCCTGTAATGTTTTTTTTTTTTTTTTAGTCACGATGAATGTTATTCAACCTGCTACCTGTTCATATTTGATGCTTCTTTGTGTAATTGATAAATGTAAACCCGAAATTATAATACAGTCTAGTACAGAAAATCTAGTAGCATGTTATCTAACTCCTTTTTCTTTCATGCAATTCATGTGCCTCCATGGGGCCTAAATCAAATTTAACCGCACACTTAGTGACAACAAATTGCCTCCTATCTCCATAAGCATATCTAACACGTATTTGCCAATCGCCATCGTTCTGTCGTTCGTTTACGTCCCCCATCTCTCCACCTACGGCTCGGCCGTCTGTTTTTTCCGCTTGACTGCTGGGCTAATGTGCTGCCTTTAATACGATACGTGAGTGACATTTGGCCAGCGACCTACCAGATTATATTTTCTTGAAACCTTTCAGGCTCTATCTGGCGTATGATATACGAGTATTTGGTTGTGACGCTGTATCAAGTTCTATGTGTTTTAAAATGAAAGCGTTGGCAATATTAATTTTTAACACGGTTTTCTTGGCGAGCAATAGACGTATACAAACGATATGACGGTTGTTGTGCATAGATATTAGCTTATACAATGTTAAGTGAGCATACTGTACAATTACACCAAAGATAAGTAGTTATGGCAACGGAAACAAACCGATAGATAGACGGTAGGTATCAGTTCATAGTCTCAGTTCGGGTTCTTTCGCCTCTTTCTACTGCACGAATCGGCTCATGATTATGTGACATAGTACGGCTCTCGCGAGATTAAGCGGTGGGTTTTGCACCATATCTCAGAAACTAATCGATCTACGATGAAGCCATTTTACACGATCGTGGCCGGCTTGTGAACCAACAAGTCGATCGCATCTTCAACACTTAAAAGCTTAAGACACTAAAGTAGGTACACTAAATTTTTCTAGGTGCAAAACCTACCGCTAAAACCCGCGAGACCTGTACACCGACTTGTGCTTACCCTATTGCACATGCTCGTCATGCCTAACCGTTCCTCATATACACTATAGGTATAGCATATATAGCATACAATCTCCATACCATGATCTGACCGATTACCGATAGCGATACTACCCGTCGGCTCGGGAGTCGAAGTCGAGGTCAGATCTGCCCCCCCCCCTCAACCGGGACTTGCCGTCGTTACGTGGGTCGTGTCCGGGCCAGAGCTGCCCTCGCCCCTCCCTCCACCGAGACTCACCGTCTGCACAGGGGTCGTGTCCGGGCCAGAGCTGCCTTCCCTCCACAGAGACTCACCGTCTGCACGGGGGTCGTGTCCGGGCCAGAGTTGCTCCGCCTCGCCGCGGACGTCGACCGTCGTCCGTCCTCCGCTGTCATCGTCTCTGGTCGCCTGGGGAGCGGGTAGTCGCTGCTGATCAGGGAGAGCTACTGCCGTCAGCTGGGACTTCTGTAACGCACAGAGACGCAACGAAACGTCAGTAACAGACACGGTAACTAAAAATCAGGGTCATGGAGAACCTCATAATACCTTCATATGTATATTGCTTTATACCAGTGTCAGTCGTCTGACGGAGTGGAGGTGATTTGGTGCATACCGAACGTCTACCGAGGCACAGCGGAATGCAATTGAGAGGTTCAGTCAGCCCATTCTGCGTATCTACTGAGAAAGGCAGGGAGCACAACGGGCTAGTTAGACGCTCGGCTATGTGACAATCGGTGAGGATTATTGCGTCGAATCGAACGGCAAACATAGTAAGGACTTAGGCATACCTACTGAAGGCTCAGTGACAGAGTCCAGTGTTAGAACGAGAAACGTGAACCTAAATAGAGGAGACCCATGGATGCACGCAAAAGAAAGGTGTTTTTAACTTATCAACCTGAGTAAAAGATAAAATGACTTTAAAGTCCCACTTAAAGGTGTTTTTATTAGTTCTTTTTAAATGTAACCGATACGAATAAAAGGTACGATTTTTATTCCATTGCTCCGCTCAACGCTCATGTGCAATGGTTGTGACAGCCGGACTCGGCTATCGGATGCTGGACGGGCTCGGAACCGTGTCCTGATGTTCGGTTATATCATATGCCAGCCTTAGCAGAGTTGTCCAGCGATGATGTTAACCCTCGCCGGCACAGGGGGGGGGGGAGCTGATGCAACCCCCTCTAAGGTTTTTCGCAAATAACTCGCGTAAAAAGCGGCCGATCGCGACGAAACTTTCAGTACCCTCGCATTGATCAATTTTACACCTACCCTGAAAATTTCATGACCCTGACTTAAATGACCTTTGACCTGTGACCTCTTTTCCGAGACCATGTATGGCCGGAATCGCGATTCGGCGTATGTCGGCTCGCATTAGCCGCGCGTTTGCAAGCTTTTCGTGGTCCCAAACGTTCAAACATGTGATTTGATGTTGCTCCCATACATTAGGGTGGGTGTCAAGGTCACCTGAAGGTCAAGTCAGGTCATTGACCTTTGGTGACCTCGGATCACTTTTTCGAGTTTTACATGTTTCTAGGCTAGTTTTTGGAGCTGAATTCGAATTTAGCAACCATTTGAACATTTACAAAGTAGTTTTGGTGCCTTCGTAGCATGTTACGAAGCTGTCAGAGGCGGTTGACACGTATTACGAATACCCGTCACGACCCCTACCAGTTCCGTTTATAAAAAAAGCTCCCACTGGAAAGCACTCACTGGATGTTTGGCAGCGCCGCCGAAGAAGCTGATGGCCTGCCTCACGCTGGTGTGGACGGTCGGCTCCTCGACGGGCACGGGCATGGTCCCAGCTCCCTCACAGACACACACGCAGCCCCGCGCCGCCGCAGCGGTCACTCACTGACCCCGCCCGCCACCGGCCGCCCGGTCCCGGGCCCTCGGGGCACGGGCGGTCGGCGCCCTCCGGACAGGGGCGAGCCCAGGCAGAGTGAAATGGTCGCCGACGTGAAATAGGGAGACTCGATCAGTGGCGCGCTCAGTTGTTATTTGATGACGCAAGCCGAACAACTTGTAAAAAAGTATGCATGAAAAAGGGTCCCAACGCCCTACAACCCCAAGTCCCAACGTAACTTCAGAGACGAAGTCAGTGTCAGTCAGTCAGTCAGTGATATGAAATGAATAGATGTGATTACTTACGGATCCAAGATCTGAGGCAGTCGGCTCGTTGATGAAATATCGTAGTTCTGATGCGTCGAATACCGCGCTGAGCGCTTGCTGAAGAGGGTCGGACCGAGCCATCAAACGAGCTGATCAACACTGAAGGCGTCCATCTGAAACAAATTGAAAGATCCTTGATCCTCTAAAGAGTTTTGTTGAGGATGAATAAGTGATAACAGATAGCTAAGAGTTTCTTTGTGCCGCGGATTGATTGCGTGTTTTCTGTAGTCAACACAATCTTAAGCACGTAAAACAATTTGAGGGCGTTGACTTGTTTCAGTCGTAGCGCGTCAGAGACAAAATAGGGTTTAAAGTAAAGTTCACATCACCGTAAAATTTTTGGTATCAGTAAAATCTGTCTGGTTATCTTTGTATATATTTTTAAGGATATCAACGATTGCTTTGATTTTATTGAGACTTAACAATCAAATAGAAAAATCCTTTCTAAATTTCATCCTGATATTGCCTCTTTTTCACTCTTTTGATTCTTTTTTAACTTTCAAGATATGCTTTATTGAAAATTAAACCAATGTAATTTTGTGGTATGAACTAGACCTTATTACATCATGGTGAAAGAAAATAAACAAAGTACACGGATGGGTGTGTGACGATAAACAGTTCAGCCAGTTTTGGAGTGGTTTGGGCGGCTGTTTTCTGCAATTCATGCTTATAACTAGAATCCTGAAGATGCCTCTCAAATTCGCTTCAAATATATCATTTATGTTTAAAGAGGCTGGTGATATTCATCTGAGATATGCTGCGGCAAAGAAAGTAGGTTTTGAAGCTGTGGAATCTGCCTTTCCTGCTGGGTTTACTGCAGATGAAATTCAGAAAGCCAAAGAAGCTTCTGGTCTGCAACAGGTTCTTTTAAACATCTTTCCAGGTAAGAACTATGAGGGAGCTTCAAAAGAGCCAGCATTCCGTGTCAGTTAAATTGTGGATAGTACCAACTGGTTAGGTAGGTACCTACCTTACTGACCTTTTGAAGTGTTTTCTTAAATGGTGTTAAAGCTGATGATTGATATAATTGATCTTCAAATGATGATTTTATTACCATCATGGTTGAAAATTCATTGTATAAGTTGTGTTTATTTTTTGCAGCATCCCTGTTTTTATTTAATGCTAATCAACATTGACCATTTGTTTCAGGGGATTCTGAAGATGGAGCCAAGGGACTTGCTGCCATTCCTGGGGCAGAGAAGAAGTTCAGAGACAGCCTAGAAATGTCAATCCAGTACTGCAAATCACTTCATTGTAAAAAGTAATAATTGTTCAAATTGTTTGCATGATGATGAGCATGTTAATGGCTGATTTTTTATTGCAAAATGCAACAAAAGCATATTTAATGCTATACAGTGTTAAAAGATGGTTATGTAATTTATGAGCAGCCCCAGATGATATTTTTTCATGGTAGAAACTCAAAACTGAGGTAAATGTCAGACCAAAGAAAAATTTTTGATCAGTCTTGTATGGACATCTGCTATCCTGATCAAGCCATCTAATTCATCAGATTTTCTCAAAATTGTATAGAAAAGATAAGCCCTAGTCCTTTGACCTTTATACCTACAATGTATGTGATGTACCTACCTAGCATTAACCCATAACCTTCTCTGTACCCAACTGATCTGTACCCTGCTGTCGCTGTCCACCCAGGCTGCACATCATGTCGGGGGTGGCCACCCGAGAGGCTGGGGCAGACACTTACGAGAGGAATATCCGGCTGGCTGCGGACCGGCTGTCCCAGGAGGGTATCGTCGGCCTGATCGAGCCCATATCACCACAGGCCGTGCCAGGGTACTTCCTGAATGACTACGGATATGGTGAGGTCTGAGGACAACTATTTATGGGAGGAATAATCTAAATCGTTTGTCAGGTTCGATAATGATGAGCTGTTCTTTTGTTGTTTGGGGTGTGACTGGTATTATCTCATTAGTTATTTCTATGTTTGATGTTTACCTTCAGCTGAAATCTCTTTTACCTGATGCATTTTAAGCCTAATTGTTCTAGCCTACCTGCATGGCTTTCCAAGCCTGTTTCTTAAAGCAGGCTGGAACCGTTTTTTCTTCTTTATTTTAAACGTACCGTTAAAACATTACGAATTAAACCCAACTACAGTTACACCGTTCACCGCTTATAACGCCACAGTACGCTATCGCGATCGGTCTGTTTCACCGATCGGCTGCCACCCGACAGCGCTGGACCTGGTGAAGAGGATCGGCAGCGAGTCCCTGCGGCTGCAGGTCGACCTGTTTCACCTGCAGAACATCGCCGGCAACATCACCAACAACCTGAAGGAGCTGCTCCCCTACACCGGTGGGTTTTGTGCCGGTCCATCCCTCTGTGCGGTCAGACTGTCACTCGATCGGTTGACATCCATTAGCAAAGGCGCCGATCAGCCCGTAGTAACCGTCCGTTCAAGCAGCCCGTATTTTAACTGCAGTTTCCCTTTTTCGGTCCCAAGGAAGAGTGAGGTAAATCTAAAGAATCAAACACTTATTTTAGTTTCAAGCAATATGTATATTATCTGTTGAAATATTTTAGAGAAGTTGTGGGGCTTATCAGTCAGCTTCCCAATTATTTTTTGCTTTGTCGCATTAATTTAAGTCGTCAATATTTGCGTAATAAAACTAATTTATGAACCCATAATTTGTTTAGTCTTTGACCACTGGTTCTGACGTTGACCCGGCGCCCGGTCAGGTCACGTCCAGCTGGCTCAGGCGCCGCACCGCCACGAGCCCGGCGTCCCCGGCGAGCTGGACTTTGGCTACGTGCTGCCGCTGCTGGAGCAGCTCGGCTACAGCGGCTGGGTGGGCTGCGAGTACGTGCCGAGCACGTCCTCTGAGGAGAGCCTGTCCTGGGTGCGGCGGCTGGGGTACTCACTGTGAGAGCGTCTCAGCCCCGTCCGGCGGGGACAGGATGGTGTGAGAGGGTAGTGGGATAGAGGGGTAGGGTTGTGCGAGAGGCCAGTGGATTTGATGGGCTCTGTTATGCAACGTACTATGAGCCGATACAACCGTAGGCTGATTTAGTCAGGTCAAAGTGTCTGTTACGGGACTGGCGTGGACTCCTGTGCTGTGTGATCGAGAGGCCGTTACGTACCAGTGATACACCACTGCCGTTAGTGACGGCTGTACGTTGTTTCTACATACTCTGTGCTGTACTGGCCACATCAGAGCAGCAGCGGAGGACGGGGCTCGCCGTCTGTCACGTGCTCGACCGTATCGGGTGAGTGCAATGGATATGTCCGTATTAGGGTCAGTTGGATTCCTGGCATTACAGGAGTGGAGCGTTGTTGTCGCTCGCTCGGCGACCGTTTCTGGATTTCGTGTCTGGTTTCCTTTGATATACTTTTTGTCATTGAGCAACCAGATACACCATAATCTCAGTGTGATTGGACATAACCTGCCATAATGGGAGTGGGGACGGTGGCTCGCCGTTCTGGGAGTTTCAGGAAACGTAAACATGTTACTTACTTACTGGGACTGGTGTCGATTTTTAATAAACGCTTTTGCTACATATGTTTTTGTGCTGGTTTCGGTTACTGATGTATTATTTATTATCTGCGTCAGTGCACGGTATGCATATTTTAGTTCGGGCAGTGAGCGGTGCCGTATATCAACTATGCACACTTCGGATAACATCGCAGCATCGGAGCTGTGCGGAGCATTACCCGAGTTGTGGGTAATTGAATCAAAGTACCGTATTACCGAAATGTATTGTTTGCACTATATCCAGAACTAGTTTGTGGGTGGTGGAATGATGCCTGTGGCTGGTGACACAGTGGGAATGGAATGCTTGAATTATTAATGACGCGTACAATGTACATACTTACTGATGATGTTGCGATTTAATGAGACGTTGAGTATTCAAGTGCTCATTGATAAAACAGGGTGGTTCCCTTGTGTCTGTGTGCATTATTAACCAACATCACTTCCTCAGTCTTTTTATGTAGGTATTGTTATTTGGATAATTATAATTATACGAATGTTATAATAGGAAGCGAAGAACTATTTCTTACGACGGCTGAGTAAACGGTCGCGACACGAAACTTTTGTCGGCACCGTCAGGCGATTCACCGCGCCTAAGAGTGATGAGACTGATCAGATATCTCCTGGGAGCCCGCATTTCTCTTCATATGTGATCCCGTGAATGTTACAACCAGCTGTCAACCATTCCAACCACAGAACTGATGGGTATTATATATTTGTTGTAAATGTACCATAGGCGGCGGAACGGGGAGGGCACCGTGCCCCCTTTGATTTTGGCATTTTAACATTGGCCCTATTGGCGTTGCATGGAAAGAATGGGACCAAAAGTCGGCAGTGCCCCCCCCCCCTTAATTGAAGGTGTTCCGCCGCTACTGAAATGTATCCAGCTCGGGTGAAAGATATACGGACTATCGTGCAAAGCTATTGACAGCTTTGTCTCAAAGGTAACGATCAAAGTCATAACGAAGTGCAATAAGCACGCCACACGATAACTACCTAAACGGCAATCCCATTGCCCGTAAGTCGTTTGGTTTTTTATAGAGCAAGGCCTGTCTAAGTGTCCAAAGGTATCTTTTTTGCGCAACCGAATATTGCTAGACCATACGGCCGACAAACTGAGCACTGCGCAGCCGTCCGTAGGTATACGCAGTGTCATGGTCCTTGTATGCCAAAGCAAAGTTAATCATTTGACGTCTGTGTGGCGGCCCAACGGATGACTGTGACAAGTAGAGGCTGGTAGCGAGCGCTTACATCATGCGCTATTATCGGTGTGACGGTGCTGTTTATTGCTAACATAGCTCCATGGATGATGAGCACTGAGCAGTGGTCTGATTCACTGACTTCGCAATGACGCCTCGAGTCTTCTCTATCCTTTCGACTTTGACTCTTGAAGAAATAATTTGTCCTCTCTTGCCTCACTTCTCCACACGATAGCCCACCGCGCCGCCGCCGCCCCCCCCCCCCCTCCCCTCTCCAGCGCCCTCTGGCGGCACCATCCGTCATCAGAGACCGGTCGACCTCGACCGTGGTCGGCCCCCTCAGCCCCCCCCCCCCGCCGGTGGCACGCGTCCCTCCCAGCCCGGCCGCGCCGCCGCCGCCGCCGCTGTCAGTTTCAGCTCGGCCGCGGTTTGGTGAGTGTGGTCCGCGGCGCCGGTCTGGAACCAGAGAGAGCAGTGCGGAGAGCGAGAACGAGAGCGAGGGAGAGAGGGGTGAGTCAGACGGGCCGAGAGCGGCGTCTCACACCGACGCGTAGCAGTGTTCGGCGTAACTGATTCAGAGATGAGGTGGCTGAATAGCGAATGGTGACGTCAGAGGCCTGGGACCGCGACTGCCGAGGTCAGTGGGCTGGTAGTACCAGCTGTGGTTAGTTGTTAGTCGGGTAGTCTGGCGATCTGATACCCCAGTGGAACCAATGTGAAATACGGTGTCCTGTCTGTTGCACGAACATTGCCTGCTAGGGCCTCGGGCATTACCGTCTTATGGGTAACGGAGCTACCAGGAGGATTAATTTGTCGTAAGGTAACGTATCCCCACAAGAACGCATTGAAATTACAATATTGCCGTTTGTTGAACAGCCTCCTTTGGAGTGAAGGGTGTCGACTGGCTCGTCGGTCAGTGCATGCTTCCGTACTTTACCGTGATTCTTCCCGGTTCTCATGGATAACGGTTCATAGCTCTATTAAAAGCGGCACTGTCGGTACTAACACTGACTTACTTCCATTATATGACTTCGCTTTCTGGTGGTCCACATCCTGCTGAACTTCGATCGGCTACATCGGGCACCCGCTGTTCCCGTCTTGGGCATTGCTCCTCGACCGACAGCGCAAGGCCGCATACATACATACACAAACCTCCCAGGGCTATTTCTGAGCGTGGCCACCCGGTCACGTGTTTATAGCCCCGGCACGTGAGTTCCCTGGAACCCGGCATTTCTCCAGTGTGCTCGCACGGGCCCGCTGTGGTTTTCCGAGCCATGTGAGGGCGCCGTTTGCGTGGCTGGGCTGTCGGTCGGTCTGTGATTTAGTGGATCGCTGGACGGCAGCCGGGTCGGAGTACCTACCAAGGACGGGACCTTATTTGGTCTCGGAGAAACGGCAGCGCTTTGACGAACCGCGAGAAGATGGGGGAAGGTTTCGCGCCCGGGATTGTTTGTAATTGTTGAAATTGCGAGTTGCGACACCCTGCTGACTGCTCGGGTGATGATTTCATCGCGCCTACATTGGAAACATCCACGGATCAGGTGTAAACGACACATGTCATGCGCATTACGCGATCAAAACTTACGCTCTCTGCCAATGACATATAACTTTTTTGTAGCGTTTCCGTAGTTAATGATCTGCATCCTTCCCAGTCGTGAAGACGTTTTGTTTTTCAGCGCACTGACCATCAGCTGGCCCTTACAAGCAATCGTTCCATGACAACAGCTCGAGCCAGGGCACCAGTGAGCATAGTGAATTCTGATGAATGAAACGTTCGTGTGTTCCCATCGACATTCGAAATAGTCACTATTTCATCATGCGAATAAATGTCGCGCTGCTATTGATGCTACCGGCAATAACTTCGGCAAGCTATGATTCAGATTGGCATATAAGCTGCATCCTGTTCTACATTGTTCAGTGCCCATTTCCTAGATAATCACGAACCTCTGGGCTACGGGACATGACAGTGCTATATAGGCTATTGACTGAAAACTCCCAGTGCCGTATTAACTGGTGAGCGACAAATAACATGTCAGCATTGTGCCAAGTAATGTGACATACCTACATGCCTATTCGGTCGAGGTAGGTAAATGTTCACACCTCAAAATCATAAACGAAAACCCCCCTAGACAAACATCTAGACAGATATCTACAAATGACATTTAGACGTAAGCGACTTCATTGAAACTCACGCACCGTCTGCATTTAATTATGTGAAATAATAACCTTAAATAGTTTCTAAGCCTCCATTCCAGATGACAAGAACGGGTGGCAGGTTGTCCTGTTTTCTTCACCCCGTATATGGTAGTCCTTCACAAATTTTATCATCACATTATAAACGGTCATGTGTAGACCAAGCAGACGGTCATGAAGATACAACACACGTCGGCAGGCACCAGTTGGGTGGCGTGACCCAGCCACCAACATTGTGAGAGTACTACGCCGTAGTTGGGTTTGGAGCGTAGTGCCACCGATGGCTCCACGCCAGCTCCCCTCCCCTCCCTACAGTGGAGGAGTGCCCTCCTACACTACGGAGGAATACCTACCCCCGCCCTCCACCCCCCAAATGCGGAGGAGTGTCTTCCTCTCCTAAAGCAAAGGAGTGCTCCCCTGCGGAGGAGTGCCCCTTACAACGGAGCCCGGAGGAGTGCCTCCCCCTTACCGCGGAGCCCGGAGGAGTGCCCCTGCCCCCGCACAAACCGTCCCGGGGTATCGGAGGACGGGACTGCAGACGGTGGCGCGCCCGCGGCGAGCTCGTCACGCTCCTTGTTATGAAATATCTGTCGCCGCCTGCATCAGCCCGTGCAAAGGCTACAGACGCAGGAGGTGACGCTTCATGGGTAGTCTGGAGCGGCCAGCTGTCTTGATGTCATCATTATGAGAAATGAACACGATTTTTAGGTGTCATTGGATTTGCCGGGGTTATAAAAGTTTGGCTGAATGCTGACAAAATTGGCGTTTCTAAAAGATTGCCGGAACTATTTAAACTGATAAACGTTTTTAATATGCCTCTTACGGTATACTAAGACAAAAATAAGCTCGGTGTTATTAAAAGCGATGCGTATGCGGTAATCACTGGAAGCCCTAGATCATATGCGTTTAGGGATAGATGTATTCAATTAATTAAAATGTATTGCCTACAGTGATTTTTTTTTCACTACATATTGAGTTCATATCAATTATATGGTTATATGGATGGCGATCGTATACCTAAATCTTCTCATTTTACCTAGAACCACATCTGTGCACCCGATTTCCGCCCTCAGCCCTGCAACAATGAAATATCCGTCACCGCCTGCTCTGACTGTTCCGAGTAACGGCCCTCCGAGCGCCGCTCGTCACCACAGCTGTGAGCCGCAAACACAGAGCTGCAGGGCTGGCCACTGACGCAGCGTCCTGTTCCGTTCCAGGCGCAGCCGCACGCCGCTCAGGAAACTCGCCGCGGCTATCGAAACTGACCGGAAGGGACCGCTTCCGGTTTCGCTGAACGACGACGGCACGGGAGGGATAGACGGCTCGACGCCGGCGAATTTCAGTGATCTTGTTTCGTGGTGACTCGGACAGTGGGGGTGGCAAAGTTGCCGCCACTGCAACTGAGCGCACTGCTGGGCCAAACCCATCTGACGTTATAACATCTCGTGAAGAATCAGTGACGTTGCCGTCGGGCGCCGAAAGTGATACACTGACGGTGATTGGCCAGGGCGGTGCCTCAGTGTAACGTCATCCGTGCTGAGTGACGTCAGTGTTGTGAGGTGAGGCCGGGCCGCCGCGCCGGTAGGGGTGCCAGTGAGCGGGTGGAGATTCAGAGGAGTCAGACCGTCGGCTGGGCCGTTCCGTCGGCGTCGGCAAGTGGCCGTCTTACTACCGACACATTACTGTCCTACAGCCGACAAGAGGCTGTCTTACGGTCGACACACCACTGTCGAATACGGGCAGCCGACAGCCGACAGAGGGTTGATTGTCCAACAGTCGGCATTTTACGACCGTTTGGCATCAGAGGCTGTGGGCGTGACCTTGTCGACCGTGGTGAGGCCGTTTCGCAGTGCCAGCGCTGTATGCCAAGTGGTACCGTAGTCTAGAGAGACTTGCCAAGCGTCACGCAGAGATGGCACCGGCCAACCACCTGCTGTTTCTCTTCACAATCGCAGGTAAGGGGCCACCCCAGGCCCGGTGACTACCCAGCGTGTGCAGTGGTCATTCTTAAGTCGCCCAGCTCACCTTTTTTTGTGCGGCTGTCAAAACTGAAGTAGTTTTTGGCGTCGCCTTTCAACAGCGGGCATTCAGTTAAATCGTCAGAGACCCCAGTTAACGTTAAGGTATACCTAGGGGAAACAGCAGCTGAGCAGCTCCTTTCCCATAGTTACCGATAGAATCTTCTCTTTCCTTCCCGATAGTTGGTATGCATCGCCTGCTCAAAAACGACTCTAGACTTGACTATATGCCGGAGAAGTCCAAGTGAATTTCTTTGAAACACCTTTTTCTTGTATCTGAGAAACCGGGATCGCTTCTGCTTTGCGTATCAATGTCAAAGCGATCTGATAAATATTAATGTCACTTTGTATTCGCATGGAAATAGCTCATTTGGCAACACAACCGTTAACCAACGACCGTGTTGTTTTACCCTCATATGATTGCCGTTATATTTCAGAGACATGGTTATCGTTCTGCTACTTTTAGGGTCTGTGGCACGTAAATGACGGTAGGCACGTAATCCAGTCCGGGTGGCAGCCAGAAAGGTCAAATTGGCGGCGTGGACACGGTGTGACTGACTGCGCAAAGCTCACTGTTTTGTGTCCGGGCTCTGACATACAGGGCGGCTTCTCCGGAGAGGGCAAATGTATCCTGGACAGGATCGGCGTTTTTCCAGCCTTTTGTTCCATTAGCAGCTCTGTGCAGTTGATCCTGTGATTTAGCCGGCCCACACATCCCTTCGGGTGGCGTAAGCTGACATGAGACTGCTAAAATAAATACAGATGTCAATCGAAATGTGTGGATTACCATTGTAAGCTGACATATTGAAAACGGTGCTATCTAGCTCAACATGCCCAGATCCTGAGGTCCGGCGACAATTTTCTGTGGTGAAATGTTTGTAGGGAGCCTTAGCTGACCATTCTGTATGCTTTCTCTGTATCTTTTTCAGGCATTTTCAGGCATGCAATGTCGTGCAACAAGGAGAACAAAGAAGTGGCGCATTGCCTTCACACCTACCTCGAACGAGATTTTCTTGTGAGTATTCGTCAGCGCCGTTATTGCGCCGGCCTTTCTTATTGCTACCCCTCGCACGCCTTGATTTCCCTCTCAGCATCCATGGTATCAATGGAACATAGAACCAGTCTGTCATTTCTCTGTCAGCTTGCTCTGCTGGGTCGGCAGATGGTAACAGTCCCGAGGCCGGCCCTCTGCGCTCCACGTGTCTGATATAGGGCAGAGCTGCTATCCCGTCTTTTCTCGCTCTGTTTGATTCTTGGCCAGTCGCTGTCAGTGCCATTCAACCAGACACGCACGGAGCAGCGGGCTCGAGTCGGTCAGCCGGGCGGTCGTGCAGCCTTTCTTTATACTTGTCCATCGAAGTGGGACGGGGCTCAGTCTCCAGCCTGCACTGAGTCTTGCTCCAGTACCGTGCCGAGTAACGCTCGATCAGACACGCGAGTATTGCGCGCGCATCACTCTGAAGATGTCATGATGAGAGCATCATATAAGGTATACTAATACGCATAGTTTAGTCTTCCCTATGCCTTTTTCACAGTCTATCGAGGCTATCGTGTACCCCGAGAGGGAAGGTCTCTCCAACATCAACCGTGCTCGGCAGCGGGGTCGGTCGCGGGGCCGGCGGCCCGGCGGCGGGGCCAACCGATTCGGCGACAGACCCATCCTGGACGGACCGGAAATGGCCGAAAACTGCAGGTGCGTGACTTCTCGCTAGTGTTGCCCGGTTGATCCCGTGAGGCAAATGCAGCTCATTTCCGCCGGCTTACTGGTTTCAGTTCCTTGATTTATGTCCTCCGCGAATTTATATTCGTCCTGCTTCTTGAGCTTATATCAAATGTGTGTCTGCGTGCATGGTGTCAGATACTGATAAGACTCATAATAGTGTAATTTAGGGTTAAAACCCATTCAACTGCTAAACCGTAACTCAAAAGGGAGAATGTGGCCAAGGTCGATAGTTTGTTACGTGTCCTGAGTGTTTCGTATCAGTGTTTCTTGCTTGAAAATGGTAAAAGCCTAGCTAATGATGTCGGCCTCGTGGCAGTTTTATGAGAACCCCACGACCTCGCCTCCATGTGGTGTCTTTGAAGCAAAAGTGGCAAAGCACCGCATGGAAACTTTGAAGGCGTGCGCTGGCGGAATTTCCCCTGGCACAATAGGTCAGCACACCCGAATTTCGTATTCCGTGAGTGATTGTGTCCTAGCCCTAGGCCGTCTATTGTCACGCAAATGAAATTTGGTCACGTGATGGACGGCGTCGGCAGCATTATACGGCCTCGTGAAACGCGCCACCCAAAACGGCTGCCGCGGAGCGCCTCGTCAAGCTTTGTTGATTTATTATTTATTTATTTATTTATTTATTTATTTATTTATTTATTTATTTATTTATTTATTTACTTATTTATTTATTAATTTTTACTTTTTATGCAAAGTGCTAAGCTTGATTACCAGAATAACTAGAGTGCACGCGATGAATGCCACTCATTTTGAGTCAGCTGGCAACGCTTACTTTGTGAATATAGGTCTCATGTTTTTGCGAGGAATATAGCCCAGGACCCACCGGGTCAGCTCCGGTAAATAGCAGGGCGCTTGTGACCTGTGACCTGTGACCCGTGCCCGTCAGAAAGTGACTAAAGGTCAACTATGTAGGTATTGCGTCTGAACATAACAATCACATTTGTATTTTACGGCGCAGCTGATTGCTGTGGTTGTACTCAACAGCTGAGTATTTTGATTTAGCGAGCACTGGTCGCCGCTTATCCAGCTTATTTGAGCGCCGATCGCACAATGGAATGTCGGTCGTAGCGCTGTGCTGCTGTTTGCATTACTTTCTAGCAATCAGTGAGGCATGCGCACGCTTAATTATGAACGTATTGCAGCAGTAAATGCTACCACATTGTCGCCATAAAACCGTTTATCGCGATAGTTCATCAGCTTGTTTCTATAATAGTCATCGATCTTTACTTATTTTGAGCTTAACGGCCATCCATCAGGGGCAGTCAGTGAAACAGAATCGGTGCTGGTTAGTACTGATATCACAGTTACCAATGTAATACATCTTATTACATGCTTAGCCAGACATAAACTTCATTAGGCCAGCGCCATTAGAGCAACTTAGCCGATTGTCATTTTGTGCACAGCGGGTCGGCGTAGTGTTGTGAGAGGCTCTTTGCTGATATGGACGGCTTTGACTGGCGGTTGCAGCGGCCGCCATGGCCCTTTATGTGTTCAGACCATCGAGCTGAGTGCTGCCGGTCGCCGCTGCAGCGACATTGACGGCCTGTGTCAATATCTGCTCAGTGCAGCGGCTGGCGCGGGCGGCATTCAATCGTCGACTCGGTTCACTCCGCACCGCTGCCTCCCTCCGACCTAACCCCTCTACCCCCGCCGACCTGACCCCCGACACTGGCCAGTGGACAGCCACCAAATTAATGACGCCGCCGCTCTCACTTTCAATCAGCAGCCGCCCCGGTAAACGCCCGTCAACGCTTCGCCGTGAAACAGGCCGTTTTCATCGGAAAATAAATCGATACCAACCATTGGGGATGACAAATGAACAATTTTTGGAAGTTAAGCATTCAGTTCTTGGATCCTTTGTCGTACGTTAATGTCTCGTAATTGAATAATGGTAATGGGGTGCACGATTTGATTAGACGGCTAACGATTTAAAAGGCGACAATTAACGTCCAAAATGATTGATGAAAGTCCGTGTCACTCTCAATCGTTTGAAACCTCAAGGCTCGTCCCAATCAGGCTATCCCCCAATTGCGCACATGCACAGTATGCAGCAGTTTTATATATGCGGGCTAGAAAGCCTTTTTCTCTTGCTTTACAAGCAGAAAACATGTCAGTTATGTCTACAATAGCTGCAAATTTGTGCATGCTCAAATTTTGTCGCGTTCGGCGTAACTTTAAATATAAATAGTCTTGGTTTGATCGTAAGCTTTCAAAGTGCATCTCCTTCCCAAACAAGAATCTGATGCCTAACTTAAGTCCTTGCCCATCTTCTTTAAATATACACGCCACATAAATATACTATTCGCATAAAACAGAGCGTCGCATGCTTTAAACGTGCCGTTGCATTAAATATTAACGAAGTTTCACACTGAACCGCCCTGCTAATTGCTTTTATAAATGGTTGATTTGAAGTTACGCAAGCAACAGCAAAGTATATCTTGGTTTAGCGCAAGTAGGCACTTATTGTCGTATTAGATGTTGATCTTCTGAAAGTCGACAACTTAAAGACATACCTACGACTTGTGTTTTACCCGGGCTGACTGCATCATAATTGTGGGGAACATCCTGTCGCGCCCCTCCTTTGGTGCATCTTTCACTTTGGTTTGTTTCTCTGAAAGTGTGCGCCGTCTTGTTTGCGTATGCATTCGTGGGTCACGGGATGGATCGATTCGGCATAACTCCCCGTAATCCCCGGGATATCTGTGCCCAGAGTTACTAGATCCTATCCCAATTACGGACTCTTATCTACAGGCAAGATTGACAATATATGTGGATGGCATATCAAGTTTTGTTCGTGTCATGTGAATGTCGTGCATGCGTTAGTAACTAGCATACCCACTCCTACACATAAAGCCTTATATATTACGTCTTATACCCTTCAATGAGGTGACATTTTCTATCTTATAGTTGCATGTATCGCATAATCCGTGTAATAAAATGCAAAATACATAAGACGTATGATCGTATCTACAATGTGTACAGTAAGTACTATCTTGACAGCGTCATCAAACACTGCCTGGTTTGCTGCCTACAGACTGATGAAACGTGTCATAATCCAAAACGTTGCTGGTACAAAGCAGAAAGATATAGCTCAAATAGTTGAATAATGATAATCTGATGATTTTGAGGTTTCACGACAATCCTGAAAGCAATATTTGTTCCGTTTACAGCCCTTTGACTCGCCAGCTATTCTATGTAGCTTTTATGTGACTCAATCACGTTTTACCTACCGCACTTACCTATTTACCTACTGCGCCGCACACGAATAACAAGTCAAGTGGAGGCTAATTTTCATAAAACAAATATCGAAAAATAATTAGAGTATGCGCTCAAAAACGCAGGAATTAAATGCCAAAGTGCTGAACGAGTCTCACTCGACTCTGTAAGTGAAGAGTGTTATGTTCTATGGATTGATCACAAACAGCTTCTTAGATACAGTGCTACACTGCAGCCGCAAACAAAGCTGCTAAGAGCTTCTTGAGGCTTTGAGCAGCACTTCTTTTTGTTTATCCTTGCGATATTTTGTGGATGTCGTGATCAGCTGGTGGCTAAATGTAGCGAACTGATGGAGATGATCCGCAAAATACGAAAATTAGTGTTCTTTTCACAAACCCAATGGCTATAACTAGGCAATACATCATAGCTGCTGCATTGCTGCCAACTATAGGTGCAATTAAACGGCTGGCCGTTACGAATCGCCCGTGTAGCTGCGCATTACACCTACCCCGGGTCTGCACTGAATGCGTCTTCACACACATAAGCTGACAATCATGTTTCATAAATTAATTATAACTATTGGAATTTATGTGCTAGGTAGGTATACCCAAGATTAATGATATACTCATGCACCATCTATATGACATGGGCCCTACCATTCCCTGCTGATCGTGGTGATTACATGATGGGGTGTGTCGTGCTTTGGAGGCCAAAGTCTACCTTACCTCCGTTTCATGTCCCAGTCTCGCTGACAATTTATGACGTTATTGCCTCCTCTGTCTCCCCGCGTCAGACGGATTGAGATGATGGTGACCTGCTTCGAGAACGTGCTGCTGACCTGTGAGAGCTTAGGCGACTTCTTCCGCTACCGAGACCTGTTGCGGGCGGTGGCGCTGGTTCAGGAGTGGCTCTGTGAGGACGTCATCCACAGGTTCTCAGGTGAGAGCGAGTACCTATATCAGTGGCAGTTGCGCTGGTCCAGGAGTGGCTCTGGGAGGACGTTATACGCAGGTTCTCAGGTGAGAATGGGTACCTATCTCATTATCAGTGGCGCTCTGGTCCAGGAGTGGCTCTGCGAGGACGTCATACGCAGGTTCTCAGGTGAGAACGAGTGTCTATCTCATGTGTGATGTGGTGATGGTCCAGAAGTGGCTCTGTGAGATCATTCACAGGTTCTCAAGCGAGAATTGGCATCTAATTGTATCTCGTGTACTGCCGCCTCAAAGTTTAAGTTTTTGATGACCTAAGACGTCCTCGGACAGCTTTTGTCGCACAAACTTTACTGTTTCAGCCCGACAGCAAACACGAGTGCAACATGAGTGCAACTGTCCCAGCTATTTTTACTCATAGCAATTCGCAACCCTCCTGAATTGTTTAAGTGCGTCATCGTTTGTTGGTTCTAATTTCCATTTGGTAATCTGATACGGAACTTGAACAGGTGTATTGTGCGACGATAACGGAAAGTGCTGATTTAAAGATCTTGGGTGGCATCGAGTGACATTTAATTTTAGCCTTGGCTTCGTTGCAAACGAAACGTATTAAAGTAACCGCACATTCTGGATGATATGCGTAGCGAAGCGTCCAAACAGTATGCAATGAGCCGTGAAGCTGGCGCCGACTCCCGAGAGACATGCGTAAACGATTGAGCATTGCATTGTTTGGGTGGGTACTGGGCAATGGGCATAGGCAATGCATTCAAAACAGTCTAAAGTTTCCAGTTTTCAAAACAGTAAAGTTTCCAAAGTGTAAACAGCGTGAGGAACTGTTTACAAACTGCAACAGAGAGTAATAAAGTAAGCTTCCATGAAGGTATAATATGCAGATCCAAGCAGCCACAGCGATGGAAATTCACAAGTGTGGGCGGCTCCTGAATCGTTTGAGCTAAAATTGTTACTCATTCCATTTTCATCCTCATCCCACCCTCATCCTTCCCTCATCCGACCAACATCCCTCCTTATCCTGCTCTCTGTTTTTCCTCAAGTCGTCGCCCTCTGTGGCCTGCGCGGGGCCCGTTGGTGCTCGATCTCCCCCGCCGGCCGGGCACTGACCTGAGGTCGCCGTCTGCGACTCCACCTCTTCACCAATGACTCTCAGTCCTCGCTCCTCCGGCGTCCGCCACTCACGTGTGCTCCCGTGCACGTCTGGCCACACTGGCTCCTGCACTGCGCTGAGCTCCTGAGCGACGACTGCCGACACCGTCAGTGCCGCCTCCGCCGCCGTCAGCCCGGCCGTCCGCCGTCCGTTTCTATGTACAGCCCGCGGCGCCCTAGCGACGGCCAGCGCCGGCGAATGGTGACATGGAGCGTGTACAGAGCCGTCTGGGGGTGCACACGAGGATCAATACTGACAAATGAGCGGTCCTGATCTGCGGTCCACTCTCGGCGAGCTGCGCCCGGAGGTCCATGCGGGGCCGCGGCCGGGGTCTGTCTTGGGGACCCCACTGTGGCGGTCGGACGGGCGGCTTCCTCTGTTCGAGTGTTACGGTAACAGATGTAGCACCAGATGAGTCACAAACTAGTGGCTTTTAACATTTTTTTTTGCGGTGTACGCGATACATGCCGAGTGAGCTGTTTCTGAAAGTAAATAAATTTTTGAATGATCAATGATCAAGGCTCATCGCCAATTATGGTGAGCACTAGCCATCTAACGCAAAAGGTATTGCTCTGCGTGCCATAGAAAATCAAAAGACCCACGTTTCTGTCGTTAAGTTTATTGGTCCACCTTCCCTGTACTTCCTTATTCCCCTAAGCGGTAAACCACCCACGCTATTTGGCATGCCTGGGGTGGGCTAGATTTGGGTCAGGTGGACGTCAATGGTAGTACGCACTGCTGCGCGCCGCAATTACGGGCGCCGGTGTGTAGTGCGGTGTGCGGACCCTCCCCCGGGCCATGTCCGTAACCAATTGACGCATAGGGTGAAGTCGTATAAGAGTACGCACTTAGTGGATTTCTTGCTCTCATTTGTTTAATATTTGAAGGAATGAAATCGCAAATAGGGAATATTAAAGTTCATTGAATTAGCCATCAACCCATGGGGCAACGATCCTTCAGCGTAAATGGAAGTGGTCTAAAACTGACATTTTCTGAACCGTTGCACTTGCGTACTCTTACCATATGGGGTGTGTAAGAGTACGCACGCCAGGCGGGTGGAGTACGCAAGCATATGAACACACATCTATGCAGCTTGCACTGTCCAAATGCTTAACCCGCGCCCCACTGGGGGGGGGGGGCTATTTATAGCCCCCCCCTCCCGTTTTTCTGCAATAACTTCCAAACCGCTTGACGGATCAACGCCAAACTTTCAGTTCCTTCGGCTGCATCAATTTGACACCTTGTGTCAAACTTTGAACTTCGTAGCTACCATAGGTCGGCCGGAAATGACGTCAGAGTGACGTCATGTTCGTCCGATTTCGACGCAAAACATTGAACCACGGCAATCGCTCCCAAGAGCTCAGTTTTTAAGCTAGATCCAATTTCTTTGCATGAAAGAACTCAGAATTGACCACGCTATCAAACTGCTATCTCGGATTTTCAAAATTTTGAAATTTCGAAAATTTTATATAATAATATTCAAAATTTATATTTTTATATTTTTTTCAAAAAGTTTTTGACTTTTCGAAAAAACCGGAATATATGTGACAGAACGCATGATTATGACTAACTCTAGCAAGTTTTAGCTAAATATCTTCAAAAATGGCCAAGTTATACGCATTATTGCAAAAAATTCACAATTATTAATTTTTCAAATCAATTTTTCAGTACGTATTTGGCATCGTACACCAATATAAATGGCACCATCGTGTTCCTGAGCTCAAACTGCATCCAATAGACACCTTTTTTGTTGACAAATTTCAACTTCAAAATTTGACCTTTTTTACCTGAAAGTGACCTGACCTAAGCTAAATTCGACTCAAAGTGACCTCGAATGACATAGACGACATCAAATTCGAAATCTATGGCCTAAATGGACCATAAAACATGTGTCACGTGACCGACGCATGATATAATATTTTCGTGACCTGTGATGACCTGACCCTGACCTGAAAAGCAAAGTACAAGTTTGGTACCCTCAAGGTATCTAGAGCATCTGTTCACGAGTGTGGAAACCAAAAATGAGCCTGATCTGACTTGTAAGACGGCGGCCAGAGCCCAAAATGTGAACAAGCCAAAGTGCTAATAATTTTTACTTTGACCTGACCTGTGACGTCATCGGTGACCTCGAGGTCAATGAAATTAGGTTTCGCTCGACAGTTTTTCCGGCGCTGTCAGACGCCGTTTGAATTTTGACGATCGGCCCAGTAGTTTCGGAGTTAGGAGGGGGGCTATGAATAGCCCCCCCCCCAGTAGGGCGTGTTATACACAGACCCCAGTGGGGCGCGGGTTAACTTCAAACTCAGAAGGCATTTAAGTTAATTCTAGAATCCAAAAAGAAAAACATAAAATAAATCTTTCAAGTCTATAAACCAGGAAATAATCATGTCCTGTGTTTCTTTAAAAAAAAATGCACAATCAGAAAGGAGAATAACTCGTATTTGGAAGAATTTCGGGTACGCATCTGCATCACAGTGCTCCATTGATGATATACCTACAAAACAAACGTCATTGAGCGATAGATTAATAATTCTATATTTCTGTATATTCGATTCAATGTATAATTCTGCGTACTCTTACCCTCCTGAACAGTGCGTCCTCTTACCGTACATGCAATTCGCGCACAAAACATCCCCAAAACATTGTGCAAAACTTCGCAAACAGAATATTGCACTGTACAGCATTTCCCCAGATAACCTCACAAGTTTCCCACAACAATCACGGAAATGTATCTTATCTCAACTGCCAAGTATCAAAGTTATTGTACCATATCATAATAATATCATAACGCTCGAAAATAATATTCATCGCCTTAAACTAAACAGCGTCGCCTCTCAACGCCCACGTTCCGTTGGTGACATGCACGCACTGGCGGCTTCATGTCACTTCATGAACTCGACAAACCCGCGTTGCTAAGCAACCGAAACAGCTGATGCGTACTCTTATCGCCCGCGTACTCTTACCCGCCCTTACCCTATAGTAGCAGGGGTTGTGAGGAGGCCTGTATGAGCAGTTGGAGGGGACGTTGGGAATAGAAATGAGTAATGAGGAAGGGGACAGCAGTGGTCCATGCCACCCAGAATCGGGGAAATGGAAGTAATGTAATATAGCGATCACTCAGTATAACGTGTAAGCAAATAGCAAGCTGAACAATGCAATGTGCAATGTGCAATGTGATTGCATGCTGCATTCGCTGCTGACTGCCACAAGGACTTTGATTGTAATTAGGTAAATGGCCCTTACGCACATATGTAATCAGTGTATCAGACTTCTGGTTACATTCTAATTAATTAGTTTACCTGTGTAGTTCTGACGAAACGCAACATAGAGTTGAATGTCAAAAACAGCGGTTAATTGCGCGCTATGCTAGGCATTGGTTTACGTTGTCTGAATCACTGGTGTGTAAGGAATGACTCGTGCCATTTTAATATGGAGCTTGATAGCTCCGCTTTAAACTACCCCATTGCAAATCAATTTTCTTACATCGTTAAATGAAGTCGAGCTGGGTTTATTGCCCAATTCACGTTAGGGGTCGTTTAGCCAATCGCTTACCTACACTTCATCGCCAGCGTTCACGGCCATTTATGGACAATTGCCTAGACTTATTCTCTGCCTCGCAACTTGAGTAAGCTACTGATGAGGTCATCCGTAGATCCTTTTGCCTGACACCGTACCTATCCAGTGAGTGTGCGCGATAATCAGCTGAATATCTACCTCGGCAGGTATACCTTGCCAGGTACAGAATGGTTACCTAAAAAACAAGGCAGCTGAATTTTATTGTTTCATAATACGGACAACCGTGGCACAAATTTACATAGGCAGACGGCGACAAACCGTCTCGTTGCTGATTCCGCGGCGGCACGACCGAAGTAAAGCGTTGCGGCACAGCCTACCTTCAGGCGCCTACGTAAGGTGCCATCTAGCGGGAGGAACTGAAGACTACAGAGAAGCGCAGAGTGATAACGATTCTTACCTCTGTGTAACAAAGTATTTAGAAGCTATTCAATGTTTTCGTGTGACGTTTAACTTCTAGGGACTCCGCCATCACGCTGCGCTTTGCAGCAGTCTTCAATTTCTCCCGCTAGATGGCACCATGGGTAAGCGCCTGAAGGTAGGCTGTGCCGCAAAGCTTTATTTCGGCCGCGCCGCCATGCGAGCAAAACGGTGATATTTAGGGGTGCGTGGGAGCTGTCTCCGTACCGGCCCGCCATTTTTCATACAAAAATATTCACGTACTCTTCCTCTCTAGGAAAGCCTCGCCTACAAGCTAGTGTGGGTGATGGTGCATTCACTAAAGCAACTGACGAAAGTATTTAGAGCGGTCCACCAACTTAAGAGTATTCGTTCTTCAATGCAATGTGATAGGCTAATTATTATTACTTATGCCCATACCAGTCGGAATACGCTAATGGGTTGGCATTACTAGTCGAGACACATGAACCGGTATAGAGGCAAGTAATGCGATATAACTTATCAGCATAGGTGGGCACGATCCGTTCCTCCGTTCCTCCGTTCCGGAACGCCGTTACAATTTTTAGGAACGGAGGAACGGACTCGTTACATTTTAAAAAGGGTAACGGACCAAGTAACTTCCGTTACATTGGTTGTTCGTTCCTCCGTTACAAGTTAACAGTTTAGTCCGTTCCTTCGTTCCTCCGTTACTTTTCGTTGTCCGAGCGGGTTGATCTTTCAGCTAACCCACAGACATTAATGCAGCAGCGGAATAGTGGATTATTGAGCAGCCCTGACTTGAAGACGGAAGATGGCCTCAGTGTACAGTGTACTGGCCTTCCGCAATGAGCCGGCGTTGCAGTATGTGTTCGCAAAGTTCAACACGGGCGTCCCTTCAAGCGCCTCAGTAGAGCGCATGTTCTCAATGGGAAAAGATGTGCTACGTGCAAAAAGGGCTACCCTCTCAGAAAGTGGCAGCGGAACATCTTCAATTAAAGGGACTATCCCACATTTAACATGGGGTTTGAGTTGAGATAGCCAAGTTTGCGGCGAGGTTCAGAAACCACTATCTATCTAGGTTGCAACCCCCGCGGCCTCTTGGTGTTGAAGAAATTCGTTCCCTTCATTTGAAAATGGGCCTTGTACAAGGCCCTATCTTCAACATGGAGCGACCGTTAGTGAGACGTCACCTCGTTTAGTCATTCTGATTTAAATGGGTTTGTTCGTTGAAAAATCGCTTAAAACTTGGTCTAAACTTTGTTGTGGTGCCTACAGAGTAAAAAGAATCAGCTTTATGACAGTAATGTGGCCTGGGGAAGGAGGTAATTTTGGGCTGTGACGTCACATATTTGAAAGTTTGTGTTTGGAATATGGGAAGCCTAAGATGTTTAATGAAAAATAAATGCCAGAACCGTGTTCCTGGTCATCCAATTTATAAAGTCGGGCACAATTTAACTCTGGTTTTAACAACATTTTAGAAGGTGGGATAGTCCCTTTAACCCTCGCACGACCAGGCCATTTCTCATAACACGAACGACCAGGGGGGGGGGGGTTGTTACGACCCCCCCTGGCGTTTCGAAACGGAAGGTCGTAGAGCTTAGCGGAAAAAACCAACGGATTGCTCTCAACGAGATCTCGCGATTGGTGGTATATTTTTTGGTCCTAGGTCAACATTTGACCTACTTATGACCGGTCAAAGGTCAAATTTTCCGAAAAAATCAAACTTTTTCGACTTTCCGCGGCGATTGCGGCAAAACGGTGGGAGATATCGACTTGAAACCTTCACTAACTATCGTGTTCCTTGATCAATTCTCTATCGTTTGGTATGTATTTCGTTTCCCTAGCTCTAAAAATGGCGCGTTGGGAGCGCCGGAAGTCGGCAAGGTCACAGTCGGCGGCAGAAATTCGAAAAATCAAAATTTAAATTTTTGAAATCTGATTGTATTTTTGGATTTGGGAGGTCCATTTGCTCCCTATAGAAGCTAATATTGCTGCATATTCCCATTGAGGTGACAAGAATTAGCAAAATAGTGGTTCGGGCGCTTTTCAAAAATAGTACCGGACGCTGTTCCTCTTGTGACGTCATAGCTCCGTGACCTGACCTGACCCGGTCAATTTTCTTGCACCACACGATAGCCAATGCTTGCCCCAACATGCATGGGAAGTTTCATCATGATCCATCAAACAATGTGGGTATCACCGGCAGAAAACCTAGGGATTCGGCGCACACGTTTGGTAACTGTCGGCCGGAGGCTGTACCTCTTATGACGTCATAACTCCGTGATCTGACATGACCCGATCAATTTTTTTTCGGCAAAAGATGCGAAAAGGTTGCCCCAGAGGGTATTGAAAATTTCAGCCCGCTACGACAAGCCGTTTAGCGTGCACTTCGAAAAAACCTCAGGGGGGGGGGGTTGATACAACCCCCCCCCTAGGCGTTCTAGGGTTAAGGGAGAGGGGGGGGCACTGCCGACTTTTTGTCCCATTCTTTCCATGCAACGCACATAGGGCTAATGTTAAAATGCCAAAATCAAAGGGGGCACGGTGCGCCGGTGCCCCCCCCCCCCCCCGTTCCGCCGCCTATGCTCTCAGATGCCAACCTGGAACGTCTAGTGTTCGTGAAGTGCAACCGGCATCTGGCCGGGGACAAGTGATGCGCATCAGTACCACCAGACGTTCCAAGGTTTAGTGTCCAATCAGTGCCCACTGTCTTGGTAGATTTGGTGGGCATTCCGCTTTCTCGGTAGGTTTAGTTGGGTCAGAATGGTCTAAAAAATGTTTGAAATACCCAACATTTTAACGTTTTTTATTTTGCTGTAACGGAGTAACGGACTAAAAGAACTTCCGTTACATTATATACAGAGGAACGGAGGAACGAGTAACGGAAGTCACGTTTTGAGGGAACGGAGGAACGAGTAACGAAGTTACAATTTTGGGGAACGGTGCCCACCTATGCTTATCAGTTGATAATAAATCCCAATGATCTTATGGAAAGCCATCCTATTTACCTACCGTTACCTACTAATGGAGACTAATGTGTCTCTAATGCTATATCGTGTTTTATTAGATAATCGTAAGCCCATTTGTAAGTTGTAACCATTCTCGGAGGATCTGTTTGATGATTCTCCAAGAGCCTCATCTCTGACTCGAGCACGCGTCAGCCTGTCAGGGTTGTATGACGATAATCTGACCTCTCTCTCTCTCCCTTCACAGTGCTGATATCGTCCGTCAGCTGCTACAAGCAGGCGCTGCTCGAGGCTGAGGAGTGCGCCGACTCCTCTCTGCCCGACAACCTGTGGCCGCAGGTGTTACGAATGGAGAAACAGCGGGAGGAAGTCTGCTCGTGAGTTACCTGTTGAGTAATCCTTATATCCTCAATAGCTGCCCGTAGCTTTTTATGCTGAAATGTCACTTTTGGATAACATATATAAGCCTGGCGGCGACTGTGGCCGGCCAGCCGGCCCCTGCAGGGTAGGACGCCCACCAAACAGTAGGTCGATCGGCTAACGTCACACCCCTAAAAATGCCGACTGTGATACTTTCCGAAAGGGCGACGTCTTCGCTTCAACCTTGAGTAACTCCGTGATCTGGTCCGACACCAAGTGTGACCCAAGCTGACTGAAAGTAACTCGAGGCGACCCTTATTACCTGACCTGACCCCGCATAATCAAATGATATAAATGACCGGTGAAGTTTTGAATATTGAGTTCCTTTTGTTCATTCCGTTAGTGAAATGTAGATCAGACAGCTCGTACTTTGAATCTAATTTACATCATCACCTTTCCACGAAGAACTGCCCCCTACCGTGCTGGGCGTTAGTGGGACATGACATGCAATTGGTGCACAGACTTGCAAAGCAATCATCTTGAGTGAAATTTAAAATGCAAAAGGAACGTCTCCCGTGATTGTGATTGGTAACTGGACCCTGTAACCTGCCAGGTCAGTGCCTAATTTGACGTTAGCTCTTGCTACGATTGCATCAATTCAATTACAACGTAGAGGTGAGCTGTTTCAGTTAAGAGCCATATTCTTATGTCATGGATCATAACTAGGCCAAGCCATATCAGAGGAATCCATCACCAAGCTGCAGCAGTTTCAAAGACCATGCGCCAATTTCGCCTACTTACAAATTCGACGAACTCAGTTTGCGCACCTTTCAAAACATTTGATAAATGGAACGTTCATCCACTTCATTATAAACTTTTCCTTTTCTAACCTCCCGATGTATTGGCGCCGATAATCGGTGCGCATTAGGGGCTCACACCCTGTTGCGTTAGCTGATGAGGCAGCGAGCGGCGCCTGTTTGCGCCCATTGAGTGCGGTCCGAGTGTGTTCCTCCGCTCAGCCGGTCAGCCATTGACGGCGCAGCTCCGTCTGTTTGCCGACGGTACCGGTCGGGCTCACTGTGTAAACCGGCGGGGTCGCCACCGGCCACCGTCCACCGCGCGGCCCCGCCGACTGACTGACTCCGGCCGGCCGGCCGGCACTGCGGCCATTTCGGGAGGCGGAAGTCCGCGTATCACGTGTTATGGCGCCTCTATCGAACACGACACTATGCGAACCATGTCAAACATGTATAGCGACGAAAACAGTGGGCTATTTGCATGGTAAAGGAGTATGACGACACCCACGACACAGTTTTATGTAAAACGCTTGAAAGGTGTTCAAATGTGACATTAAGGCGTGGTTACGCCAGTCATAGGTGGTTAGATATTGACGCGCGGCAAGTGTTTCAGCGTTATTCACCCTTAGTCCCTTACATCAACATAGCTATCACCTATGCAGACCACCTTAACTATTTATGCACAGACTGTGACTCTATTTTTCTTCTAATCGTCTTTTGCTACCGAGACTATTTGTCCTCATACAGACTATACGCCTGTGTCTGTCTATGCAGACTCTTGATACAGGCTTCCTTATATCTGGTCTCTGTACAAGTGTACAGGTTATCCCTTGCCTCTACATATCTTTCCCCTGTCTCTCTATACCGACCCGTCTCGTGTTCTCCCGCCGACAGGCCGCTCCACCGTCAGTGTCAGTGTCTGGAGCGTAGTGGGCGCCTCTCGCGCTGCGAGTCCGACGCCGCCGACCTCTACCACAACGTCACCGGCATGTTCCTGAACTCGTGGTGCGGCGCGGCCGGCGGCGTCAGCTCCTCCGTCAGCCTTCTGCTGGCCGCGCTGCTGGTCACCTCCAGCTGGCGACTGCTGGCCGGCTGAGGGGTGGAACGGCTGCCGGCGGGGCGGCTGACGGCTGACGAAACAGCTGCTGGAAGCCTTCGACGGAAAGATCCTGATGGCGGTTGAAAGCGGCAGGCGGGACACCAGCTGGGGCTGGCGGCTGCTGACGGCTGATGGAAGCCCAAGACGGGACACTGCTACCCACTGCTGGTGAAGAGTCTGTTGTTTAGTGCTGGCCAGTTGGTGGAACTGATAGCCAGCGCCGCAGGCTCCCATCGACCTTTGGTGAAGGCCAGTGATTTCTACTTGCCGGTATGACCGTATGCCGGTACCGCAGACTGTTTCAGACTGTTTGGCCAGGGCCAGGGTCCAAGAGTGCTCTATGGGGTGAGCCAGGTCAGTCCAGTAGGTGTTCTGACCCGCCTGTGCTGCCATCTAGTGAGGTGACTGAAAAGTGCCAGCCGCAGTCTGAAGTGGAGGTGGCAGACTGACTGGCCAAGCGACTCCTAACTGACCTCAGCTGACCTCTCTGTGACCTGGGTCGATATCGGAGAGACCCTGTGGCGCAGGGTGCGGGTCCTTTGTGGCTGTGATCTTGTTAGCACATGGTAACTGTGCATAATGCGGTGTGGATGCGCGCTGGATGTGATGTCGCTTTAAGGCCGCCCCACACTGGAACTCGCATGCGGGTTGCGAGTTTTTAGGTTTTCGGGTTTCTTTAAAATCAAATAATACAATCTAAGCTGAGTGACCCACACTACCATCTAACAAGCGAGTCTGCATGTTTTTAGCTTGCAAGCGTCCTTGCATCGCATTCCAAAGGTTGATTCTGTGTCAACTTTCGATTTTCCTCGCTGCGAGGTCTGCGAGTTCTGCGAGGTTTGCGGGTTTTTCGTTTGAGTTGAATTTTGGTTCGTTGCGCTGGTATTGCGACTATATGAAATTTTCTGAAGGTGCACCGGCTTCAATGCATTCATGAAGCTACCATAAGGGAACGGTCTAATCGCTTTATGAATTAGTATTATGCCCGCAAACTCAAAACCCGCAAACTCGCAACCCGCATGCGAGGTCCAGTGTGGGGCGGCCTTTACTCGAGTTGTATGGTATCGCTTTACGCGGAGCGATAGTTGTGCTGATCGCCGCACAGTGTGGGTGGGATATTGCGAATCGTTTAGTCAATATGTGTGCCGCTTGCCTCTCTTTGCACTATCAAGTGTTTAACCTATTACTTGGAAACATGAGATGTTCCATAAATACAGACTTCATTGTTGCGTTTATCATGATACCCGTGTAAAGTAGCTTTCATTCTAACCTCCAAAGGGTTGGAGGGTATTGTTAGCTTAGTTGAGAGAGCGAGTGACTGCTGATTAGAACGATGGCAAGAGCTCGGTTCGAGCCCCGCTAGCCTTCTCCCTTTGTCTTTGCCCCTAGCGCCTGGAGGAGGTGATCGGTGTTTAGTGGTAGCATTGGCGTTGAAGTCACCGAGTAAGGTAAACGGCATTTGACTACGAAATACGAATATTTTGTTTCTTCGCGGGTTCAGAACAGCTTTAGCGCAGCATCCCTGGAGCTCACTGCCCTCTCGGGTTCATGACTTCCCCGGTCTCAGACTTCTATTTTACGGCACCGCTGATGTCACAAGGTAGTAAAACACATTCTTGGGTTCAAAAGGTAACGTAGTCAAGGTTGCAGTACCCTACTCGACGTGGTAGTCAAGCAGTCTGAGCAATTTCGGTCTGCAGGCCTCGAATTCACCATAGGAATGCCTGGCGTTTGTTAGTGGCAGACGAGAGTAGCGATTCCTGAATGGAGTTATGCTATCCCCAATATCAATATAATAGCTCAGGCTTTCCAGTCATATGACAAAACATGTTTCCATAGGCACTGAATGGCGAGCAGCATCTTAGCCGCGTCCCTAAGATCTCCTCAAGTGCACTGACCTGTCGACTAAAAGCCAGTTAATGGAACTTGTCGACGCGTCGGACTAGTCCTGACAGGCTACCATCCATACTAGTGGAAGATTGCTAAGTGCACTCAGTCACGGGGCTGAATTACCCACTTATTGCATGATCGCATTATTACATCACGTATACATTGCATCATTCATAGATAACATTCATCTTGTCTATGCATCATTACATGAATGCTAGCTAAAAACTCCGTTTTTATAATGTGTAGGAGAAAACCGTAGAATTACAGCGTCCAGCGGTGGTTTGAAGTTATGTTAGATATGTTACGGTCCGGTCTTTCGAGCCACCATTGGTGGTAAGTATGAGACGTAGTCCCTGAGCAGCTTTCCGCTGTAAGCCTATCAGAGGGTAAAACACTGCCTTTGAAGGTGCTTATCTGATGAAACGACCATTCTTGAAGAATGCTAGTCGTTGTTAGCAAGGAACTTGTCTTACGCAGTGAAAAATAAGAAACAATAAGACCAATATGGACGCAGCCGCTCTAAGGCTTCACACCAATTGACGCAAGTCCCGGTACACTGCCCTTCTGGCTCGGTGAGTGATTGGAAGTTCGATCCCCCTCAAGTGCGCGTCGCGTTACGGACCACTCGCTCTATGACGTAAGCACACACACAGCGGTAGCCTGGTGTTGTCCCAGCAATACCGTGCCGTCCCGCGCGCTGCTGGGTTCTAAGAGGCCACCTGCCCGGCGGACTGAGCACACAGGCGCCGAAGGCTCGTTACATAATGCCGACCACCCTGCTACGCTCCGTATTGTCCGTCCGTCCGTATGTCCGTATTGGGTTTACACATGACGTGAGTCAACAACTCGACGATATTGCGCCTGTCATCGGCACTTCCACGTCCCCTCTTATCGTATAGAGCTGCAGCTATGACGTTTAATACACACTGGTCTTTCAGAAATATTGTATTTCCTGAAAATGAGCAACAGTTTATAATGCACATATGTACAACGTCGTGAACGCTAATACTTCTCACAGGCGAATGATCCCATTAGTAAAATAACGTTTGTACTCTCCATAAAAATGCGTATCACAACGCGCCTGTCTGTACAGCTATAGAGGGGTGGGAGGAGGGGCCGCAATCGGGCCCTATCACAGCGGGGGCGGGGCGGGGGGCGGCGGGTCTCGGTCAGACCAGGGTAGCCGACCTGGTCTGGGGCGGCGGCGGCGGCGGCGGCGCGGCGCCCTCCCCCGGCCGACTTCCCTCGCACCAGGCGGCGAGCATCTCGGAACGGAACGCGTCCGCCACAGAGACAGAGTCCTGGAAACTCGAGTTGTGCGACCCCGGCTGGCTGGGAGAGGCGGCGCCCGACCCCATCGGCGGCGTGGCCCTGCCGACCGAACAGAGAGTGTCAGCATCGGCTCCGTCAACTCGGTCAGAAGACGGGAAAGGGAGAAAACGCGTCAAGCGAAGACATACGGGTTGTGAACCAGATCAACAAAGAGGGTTCGGCAACTCTGGGCTGGCAGGGAACATTTTAGTGGTTAGCTTAGTGGTTTCTGGGAACACTCCGGTATCGCCTGGTTCAATGTAAGTTAAGCACGGTGGTAACACGGTGGTAAGTGGTGGCACGCTCCTGTCCTGATACCATCCTTTATTCAACAATACTGACAGTAATACCTGTAAACGCAATTTTCTGAGTCAATTATCGCATAAACCACGATCTAAACCTACTTTGCTTAGAAATGGCTGGTGTGAAAGCCCCGAGCAAAGCAACAAGAGGTAAGAAGACGAAAGTGGCGCATGTGAAAACGTCGAGAGAAGCGAGGTCAGGGGAAAATGATGATGTGAGGACTGTTAATGAAGCTGAAAATAGCTACATTTGTCCTAAATGTGGGAAGGAGGCTGAGATGGATGTTATAGAATGTGAAACATGTCATGAATGGTTTCACTTTGCATGTGCTGGGGTCACAGATCAGCTTCAGGATTTGAGTGATATTGAATGGATTTGTTGCATGTGCATGTCGCAGAGCGCAACTAACTTCGCAAATGGGTGTGGCAGGCATGATACTGCTGACAGTGCACTGAGGGGGATGATCTCAGAAACAGGGGGCGATTCCGCAATTAAATTTGGCATGATTGAAACTGGCCATGCAAACGGGAAGCATGAGACGGATTCAACAATGGTGCTCCGCAAAGACCATGCAATGGGGGATGGCTATATGTGTGAGGGCGAAGAAGGTGGTTGCATGAGAAGCACTGCAAATGAACTCGCACCATGTGTAAATGATGAGACGCATCTGCATGGGCATGATGATATGCATGACACTGAAACTTTGACTGGGAGTCAAAAGGAGTGTGATAGCTTGCGGAGTGCTGTAATTATGCCAAGGGATACTGTTGAATCCTTCATACAAGCGGCCAAAGCTAACTCGGAAAAGAAGATAGAGACATTAGGGTTTCTGGCAGGTACAAAAGATGATGGAAGAGTGCGCGTCACATCAATAATAATACCTGAACAGATAGGAACAACATCAACATGTGAATGTAGACAGGAGGACCAAGTGGTAGAATGCATTCGAAAAGACGATCTCATTCTGGTGGGGTGGATACATACTCACCCCATTTATGATACATTTATGAGCTCAATTGATGTACATACACAGTACACCATACAGAGAGATGTTAGTGAGGCATATGCCATAGTATGTGCAACTGAGAAAGGCAAAACTGGGTACTTCCATCTCACAGTGCAGGGCATGAGAAATGTTTCAGGATGCCAAACAGGAGGCTTTCACGAAGGTTGTGGTGAGGACACAAACTGGGAAGCAATTGAGCAACCCGAGTGGTGTAGCACACAGATAGAGGTCACTGATCTACGAAGCAGAATGAACAAAAAAGTTCAAGTCGATGCACAGGAGGGACCCCAGCAGAATGAAGATGCTGGTCTGGAGGCAGGAAGAGCCTGCAGCAAGAACAACTCAAAGAAAAGGAGACCTGAAGAAAATGTGAACAAGGATAGCATGCGTGAAGTGGGAAAGCATACAGAGGAGAACAGGAGGCAACAGGCAGCATTAAGCAATGCAATGCAGCAAAGTGAAGACAAGAGGGAGAAAGGAGAAGGAGGCAACACAGAGAAACTGAGACCAAGCACGTCGCAGGGCTGTGAAAGAAGCCAAGGAGTACAAAACTTGGTGATTGATGAAGAGCTGCAGGAAGAAGGTCGAAGCCAAGAACAAATATCGGTTGGAAGAAAACATGAAGGTAGGGTTGAAGAGATGGCCCAGCAGCACGGGGGACGGGAGCAAGAGGGGGATGAGGCAGAAAAAAGAAGCGAGGCATGCCAACAGGAAACAGTCAGATATACCAATTTAGTACAGGATGAAGGAACGCTCTGTCAAGAAAGTGAAAAGCATGAGGGAGAAACTAGCAACAGAGAGGAAAATAGCAGAAATGAGAGAGAAAATGTTAATGTGACTGTACCAGGAAAAGGTGGACAGAAAGACCCTACAGGTAAACCGAAAGGCCTGAGAAAGGCTAGGCTAACTAACGGCGTACTAAAAAGTCCCAGAATTGGGTTAGCAGCACAAATACAGCAGCTCAAAGCGGAAAATCAAAAACTGAGAGTACAGCTGCATCAACTGGAACAGGGAAAAGAAGTGCAAAAGAATGTTGACCAAGTGGATGGTGGAAAAGTTCTAGGTGAAGGATTATGTGGAGCGTGTGCAGCATACCTGCTATGGCTACATAGACAAGAAGAAGAAAAGTGTGGAACTCTGCAAAACCAAAGCATGGATGCGGCAAATCAGCTGAGAAATGTGAGTAAACAAGGGAAGGAAAACAGCACACCAACGGCAAATCAACACTACAGGCAGGGACAAGAACAAGGCATGTTGGGAAACACATACCAACAAGAAGAAACAGAGAATGAAATTGTTGTGGTAAGCAGTGATAATGAAGACACACAGAAAGTGCGGGAATCAAGTAACTCCAAAAGAAACCAGGAGTTGACAAAGGACAAAACTGTACAATGCGACCTGAACTCACAGAGCACAGGAAAGTCGAGATCGAAAGTGGGAAATGAGAATGAAGGATGGGGAGAGAGAGAACAGCAAAGAAAGGAAATGAACTGCCGCAAAGGTGGCATAGAGAAAAGAGGAGAGGACAACAAACAGGAAAACCATGAGGATAACACGATACATGGAAGAAATCCTCTGATGAGCAACAACGTAGAGCAAGGAAGAAACAATGGTGCTACAGGGCATGAAAGAGGACAAGGTGGAAGACACCCACGCTACTATAGAACTAGAGTGTTCGTCAATCAGCGGTATAGAAATAGGGACGAATACAGGGAGTACGAAGAAAGGGAATGGGAGCCTGTGCATCACTTTACAGGAGAAGACAACATGCGCAGGTTGAATGGAAATAGTAGAAAAAACTACTACAGGACAGGCAGGTACAGGGAAGGAGTGTATAAACAAGAACAACGCGAAGAAGGTAAGGGAGCCAGAGCGTTTGGAAAGCAGGACCTTAATGCAGACGGACATGACAAAAGAAACGGAAACCGCGTCCAAGTAGAACCACCCTATTACGGTAGGCGCTTCGATGGACACCCAGGTCAGAGAAAGTGGGGCAGACATGAGCATCATGAACCCCAAGACTGGCAGCTGAGAGGACAAAGACAGATGAACTGGAATGGCAACAAGGGGTGCAATCAATCACATGAGCGAGGGACTGGGAATGAAAACCAAGAATGTTCCAGGGACTATATGGAAGACGAACGTAACTATGGGACCACTGAGGAATGGAATGAAGAGGGTGGTGCATCCGGAAATCAGCAGCAGAGGAGGCAGTACCAACAAGAAAAGTGGTACAGTCGAGAAGAGCAGAGCTGGAACTATCCGGAAAGTCGACGGGTCCGGAGAGAGCATGGGAATTTTCACCGGCAAGGGGCGAGTGGAAACCCAGATCAGTGCCCAGGTTGGAGAGGGAAAAGCTATGCCGAAGCCCTGCTGGAAGAGCGCAGGGTCTTATGGCACTAACAAGAGAAGGAGACACTGGGAGAAATTAAAACTCGTTCAGTATAACTGTAGAGGATACCAGAAGAGTGAGTTTATGCAAAGCATATTAGATGAAGCAGATATTCTGTTGCTCAATGAAACATGGACTTCAAAGGCAAATCAAAGTCAAACCCTACTGACCGAAACACATGATGTGATTGCAGTAAGCTATGATGAATATATAGACTATGCCGTCTTACAGAACAAAAGTGGTCGTGGGCACGGGGGTGTAGCGATTATGACGAGAAAGGAGCTAGGCATGATTGAAGTGGACCACCGTGGCAGCACTAGGATTCAGGCGGCAATTGTAAAGGGCATGGAGATTGACATCCTAGTCATTGCTGTATATTTGCCGACTGGCACACTTCAGAAGACAACCATTGAGTTTCAAGAGACAATAGATAAGGTGACAGGCATAATTGAGGAGTATGGTGAAGAGAAGATGATCATTGTTGGAGGTGATCTCAATGTGGACCTGACTAAAAACGTGCATCCAAACAAGAAGTATGTCGAAGCGATGCTAGCTGACTATGGATTAATGATTCCCTGCAACAACATAGAGGGCCATAACACATTTTACAAGAATGAAGTTGAAGCAACATCACTGCTAGACTATTTTATGGTTGACAGAGGTCACTCAATGTATGTAACAGAGTATAAGATTCCAGAAAGAAGCGCTCTCAACACGTCAGACCATGAGCCGATATGTGTCTGTGTTGAAATGAAAAGGAGATGTAAACAGCAAAAAACAGAGGAGCAAAAAATTGACTGGGAGAAGGCACGAAGGAATGGCAGCATTGAAGCCTATCGGCGTTACCTATGGAAACATAGACAGACGCGAGTGGACATAGACAGTATCAACAAGACCATTATAGAAGCAGCGAGAATGCTTCCAAAGAAGGGAAGAAGGAACAAGGCAAGTAAGTGGTGGAACAGCGCTCTCACGGAAATGAGACGAGAATGCTTAGCAGCTAAAGACAAATGGAAAGAATGTCCGGCGGAAGAAAAAGATATTGCGAAAGCGACATACAGAAGTAAAAAGCGGCAGTATATCAATGCGCAAAGAATGTACAGGCTACGTGCCCGAAAGGAAGATGATGCTAAAAAAGAGATAGAATGCCAAAAACTATCAAACAAGTACTATCAAAGAATACAAAAATGCGTACGAAGAAGCAAAGTACAACGACTGAAAATTGAAGGAAAAGAAATCTACCAGCCCCTGGAGATTGCTGAGGCGTTCCTCCACCATTTTGTTAGAACAGCCATGCCAATAGAAGACCCGTGTTTCGACAGGAAATGGAAGGAACATGTCACGGCAGTGGTCAACTTAACATGTAACAAATACCAGGAAAAAGGACGAGACTTAGAAGACTGTAAGCCAATAACAGAAGCAGAAATATCCAACATTATTCGAAGACTGAAGAGAAGGAAAGCACCAGGAACAGATAATATTATGGCCGAGCATCTCATAGAGGCAGGAGACGCTCTTATTCAAGATATAGGAACCTGTCTCCAGGATATAATGAAAACAACAGAGATTCCAGAGAACTTCAAATGTGGACTAGTCACTCCAATCTACAAAGGACACGGAGGTAACACTGAGCAAACAGACAGCTACAGGGATATATCTGTCCTGACTACTGCCTGCAAAATATTCGAAAAGGCTATAATTCACAGACTAGGTGAGGAGCTCAAAGAAGCCGGAATACCGTCTGATTTACAATTCGCGTACCAAAGTGACAGGAGTACTTTGCAGGCAAACTTCATCCTTAGAGAAGTAATATCTGCAAATAGAGATATAGGCAAGACAGTATATGTCGCCTACTTGGATGTGCGGAAATGTTTCAATTCGATTTGGCACGATGGTCTCATCTATAAGCTAATCACCAGCAATGTTCACCCAAGACTGGTATTGATACTCTACAATCTTTACAAAGAGTTCAGAGTCAGAGTGAAGGTTGCAAATGAAAAGTCTGGGATGGGAAACATGCAACAAGGACTAAAGCAGGGTGGAGTGTTGTCCACTAGCCTGCTCTGTCTCTACATGCACGATAAGATACAAACTCTGCAGCAAGCACGTGTTGGAGCAAGAGTTGGAGATATACAAGTACCTATCATTGCATATGCAGATGATGAAGTTCTCATTAGTACAGATCCGACAGAGATGCAGTTAATGCTCGATGTTGCATACAGTCATAGCACGAAATGGAGATATCAGTACAATGCAAGTAAGAGCAAAATCATGGTATATGGGAAATGCGTAGATGGCAGAAGATGGTTACTAGGAAAAGAGCACATTGAAGTAACCACAGAATATACCCATCTGGGCGTCCATATGACCAACAAGGCTGAAGGAAGAAAGAGAATCGAAGAGGGTATGAAAAGGGCGAGAAGAGCGATGTTTGCAAGGTGCCCAGAAGGCCTTGACGTTGCCCGTACAAGCCCACTGTCTCTTTACACCACATGGAAAATATATGCTGAACCGATACTCCTGTACTCCATGCCAGTGACGATTTTCACAAATCAAGAAATTAACTACCTGGAGGTGATGGTGGTAAGACTTCTGAGGGCTATGCAAGGATTACCCAGAAGAACCCAGAACTTAGCTGTGTACATGATGCTTGGAGCGTTACCCCCTAAGGTGATGATAATGAAAGCAGCTATGCAATTCATTCAGTTTCTCGCTAAAGCAGCGCGGGAGCATGCACTGACGGAATACATGATACTGCACGGTGCTCTCAACAAGGACAGGAGCTCGAGCATACTAAGGCAATGGGAACATTACTTTACCGCATTGAAGCTACCAGGCATAATACAAATGATGACAACAAATGGAGTACAGGGTAAGAGCTGGTATAAAGTTTGCAAACAAGCCATCAACGCGTATACTAAAGCAATGATTATAGAAGAAGCTAGCAAGAGACAAACTATACAGTGGATCGCCGATATTGCACAAAATATGGAAGAATACGAGCCAGCGAATCAATTCTGGCCGAAAAACAGACTAAGTGTTATTGGCAGACAAGCGACAGGCACGAGGATACGACTTCTAACGGAGCAGTCGCTTCTTGCCACAGGAGTCTTAAGAAGGCACGCTGAGCGAAATGAGATCTGTCCATTATGCATGAAAGCAACAGAAACTCTTGAACACTTTCTTTATGAGTGTGTGGAACTGCGGCAAGAACGTGAGGAAGGACAGAGGAGGTGGAATGCGAGGTTAAATAGGACTCTACCTGCGAAGCTGACTGTCCGCAATGCTGACTCAGAAGAGGCCTTGTTGATCAATTACCTATACAAGACAAGGATACAAAAGGAACTGCAGTCTGCATGTCGACAGCAGTTGAAACGAGCAGGACAAGAAAAGAATCCTGTCCTCATCCTCCCAGTCTCTCCTTGCCCGGTGCCACCACTAGCGTCTTGCACAGTACCTAACGTAAAGGCTGAGATAAGGGACAGCAGAGGGTCATCAGGGAGGACAACCTGATGGTGCACCCGATGGGTGGAACCGACGACTGAGAAGAAGAAGAAGTTAAGCCTCTGCCCAAAACATGGTATTACATCACATCCACTCCACCAATCTCGCTGTTCACGCACCCCCCTCGGCGTGCCGCCGCTCTGCTCACCTGTGCCAGTTGTGCGGCGGCGGCCGGGCCGGCTGGCAGGCCTGCTGCGCGGACGGGGGCTGATACAGTCCCCTCTGCGGCGAGCTGAGCACCTGACGCGCGGCCGCCGCGTGCAGAGAGCCGTGGGTTAGCTGGGCGGACAGGCCGCCGGCCGGCGCCGGCCCGGGGCTCATCGGCGACTGCGGAACGCTCCGGCCCGTCACGCTGGAGCCGGGACTGTCGCCGCTGCCCTGGCTCTGACGCCGGTACTTGGTGCTGTACTTGTAGAAGTCCGACATCTCGAACGGCTTGGATGTCTCCCGGTACGGCTGGAAGGTGCCCGGCTGGATGATAGTCTGGTTCCGCGGCGCCTCCGCCGTCGGCACGGCTGCGGACGGCGGAGGAGAGGCGGCCGGCCGTCCGCCGTGGCGCGGCGTCGCCAGCGCCTCCAGCGGCGTCACGGGAACCTGAGGTGCCGGCGGCGGGTGAGGCCGAGGCGGCGCCACCAGCGGCGTGATCGACATGTCCAGCACAGAGGCGGTGTCGGCGGCCGGAGCGGGCGGCGGCCGGCCGCGGCGCGCCACGTCCGGGGAGTCCAGAGAGGTCTCGTACCAGGCCTTCTCCCTGCGCCGTCTCGCGGCGGCGTCCGACGAGCCGTCCGCCACGGAGGCCACGCTCAGCTGGCGGGGGAAGGCGGCCGAGTCGGCCGGCAGGCTGGCCGTGCGCGCGTGCGCCGCCCGCAGCGCGTCACTGGCCGCGCTCAGCGGCGAGTCAGTGAACCGGGGCGGCTGCGGCGGCGGCGGCCAGCGCGGCGCGGCCGCCTCCAGCGGCACGGGCGGCGGCGGCGCCGGCTCCCCGTCCAGCCGCTCCATGCTGCGCGCCTCCAGGGTGAGGTGGCCCGCCGAGGAGACGTGCCGGCGCCGGTCCAGACTGCCGAACCGCGCCGAAGTCTCCTCCGGCGGCGCGTCGAAGCTGCCGTCCAGCTCATCCACGCTGAGGTGATGCATCGGCGAGGACTGCGCCACCGGCTGCGGCGGCTGTGAGTGCTGCTGAGAGTGCTGGGAGTGCTGGGAGTGCTGCTGCGGGACCGCCGCCGGGCCGGTCCGCCTCTGCGGCACGCTGTACTGACCGCCCGGTGACCAGTACTCTCGGGGCGGCGGCGGTGGCGGCGTGTCTCTCTGGCTCAGCGTCGGGTACTGTTTGCTGCGGTAGGACGACCGCGTATACACCGAGCTCGGTATGTACCCGCCGTTCAGCTCCTGACTGCCCGGACTCGGCTCGCGGGACGGCGGCAGCTGCAGGGTCGCCGAGCGCGACTTGGGCAGCTTCTTGGGCGAGCCGGGCGCGGACAGGGCCCTCGCGCGTCCCTCGCCGCTCTCGGAGAGGTCGGAGAGGTGGGTCGGCGGCCGGCGCGGGGGCCGCTGCTCGGGCCGGCCCGGGGAGCGCGGCGGCCGCGGCGGCAGCGCGCCGTTCAGCGGGGAGAGGCTGACTCCCTCGGCGGAGGCCACCGAACTCTCCTCCTCCTCACTGTGGTGGTCTGTCGGGGGGATACGGGGACACGGAGTCACGATACTGCCGGGCGATATGTGGCACGGCGCGACACGACGATAACGCTGAGCAATGCTCATGGCGGTGAGGAAGGCACGCTGAACTATAAACAGCGTTTACCCTGCAGACGCCAACTGTTTTACGAGGACTATGAGGGTTATTTGATAGGCCCACCCATCAGTTCTGTGGTGCGACTACGATAAACCCAACTACTCAGTGCAAATGACATCATCACTACCCTGACCAAGGGGCATGCCGCGCAAACACCCAGGAAACCCAGCACATCCCACCATGTGACTGCAAACTGCGGACATCCCATCCGCTCCGAACACAACACATCCCGCTATCAGTTTTACTCTGGTGATGACACCATCCCATGACTGGCGCGCTCACTGACTCACAACCCACAAAACAGCACACATCCCGGAGATGATGCGAGAAAACAAAACAGGATGGATGATGCGACAGACTCACCACATCTTGGAGCTAGCCGGACAGCCGACGCGGATCGGGCTACACACTTCTCTTCCTCACCCCACATCCTTCAGGCCACCGCAGCCACCTCCTGTAGCCCTATACCCTCTGCTGTCCTCAGAGTTTCAGACCCCCGCCCGGACCGATTCCCCCATGACTCACCCTCGCCATCGCTGCTGGGCCGCGGCATCTTCTGCTGCTGCTGCCGCTTCAGCTGTTTGGCTTTGGCCGCCTTCAGCCGGGTCTCGATGTCCCGCAGCTTCTGCGCCGACATTTGGTAGCTGAGTTTGCGCTGTTTGCGGACCTTCTTGAGCGTGGCATCGTTGGCCAGTTTGAGTGCCGCCGTGGTGATTTTACTCTGGATTTCGTAGTCGAGTTCAAGTGCCGATACAAGCTCCTCCTGGGGGAAATGGGTCTTCAGTCAGCTCACGACCTTCAGAACATTACACAAATATCGTCTGACGAGCTCTTGACAAACTTTATCTGAATCCCTAAATAGGCAAAGTCTAGTTATGTAAGCACATTCTTAGGATTAGCTGCTCAGGCACTCAATCTGGGTCAAGTCAAACAACGGAGTCTAATAGCCATATACAGACTTCAATATCGCCGTATTTGACACTTTTCCAGACTGATTCAGACCGATTTCCAGGCCGCCCTCATGACTAGCCCGACGCCACCCTCATCTACTCCCGTCAGGCCACCAGTCACCGTCAACACCCGCGGTTGGATCAAACCACAGTGGTCTCATCACGCTCACTATCGCAGCGGCGCTATAAACACCCGTGTCCCCCGGATATAAACACTCGGCTCACTCCCCAGATAGACCAATCAGCGAGCGACATCCGACTGGGTGTCAGTGACGTCACATGGTTATGGTGGAGTTGTATCGGTGGCAGATGCTGCAGCGACCAGCGTGCATGGATCCGGATAGGGTAGCAGGTATAAAGAAGGAACAATTAAACGGAAAGGGAAAGGGCCGCTAGCATGTTTCAAGTGTATCTGACAATACTTCTCATGATTAAGATTTGCATAGCACACTGACTCGCACATCACGCTGCCCTATGTCATTCCACTGTTCGACCAGGGCACCCTTCGCCCCTGCCCGTCCCATCGCTCACCTGACTTCCTCTGAGCCTGTTGATGAGTGTCTCGGGCAGTGTGAACGCCGTGCCCATCCGTCGCCGGATCTGCGGCAGCGGCTCGCCGGGCTCCAGCGGCAGCTCCGCGGGTAGCTCGCCCGTCAGCTCGGCCTCCTTGATACACAGCAGGCGCAGCTCTGCCGTCCGCTCGGCCAGTTTGGCCTCCAGCGCGTCCCGGCGCGCCTGCAGCGCCGCGCACATCTCCATCCTGGCCGCCTGCTGCTCCGAGTCGTCCGTGTAGCTGCTGACGGCCAGCGACTGCAGCGAGCCGCTGTTACTGAGAGAGGAGCTGCTGACGGCGGAGAGCGCCGGACCGCTGCGACTCAGGTCCCGAGCGATATCAGAGAGAGTCCGAGACGCCTGCAGACCCGACTGGAACGAAGAGGGAGAGGGGACGGTCAGGTCACGGCGGTCAGGGTCAGGACACTTCTGATTGCAGCACAGTTCAGTATTTCTCACAATGCATTAAAAAACCAGTAGTTATGCACTACACTTCCCGGTTCCCAAATATTAACATCACTAGCATTCAGTAAACTACTAACGACCTTCAAGCTAACATAAACGAATTCCTCGTGTGACGTTTACAAACGAGACGATCTGACGGGTCGCCGCAGGAAGGACGTCATACATCAAAGTCCCCACCACCACATCATGGCACCACGGGGTGACGGTGACGGCACGTCACCAGACGGCGTACATCATCACTAAGTACAAACACACCGCTGGCGACCACAGACACACCACGGGGCGGAAAAACAGCCGCAGAGCGAGGGAAGGTTCGTGACAACATCGCATTCCGGAAGATCGTTAACTCGCGTCATACAGACATGATCCTGCAAGGACACTCAAAAACGCATTGCCGCAAATGAGTCTAATGAAGAAAAATGACGCAAATGTCCACATAGCCAGCAAATTACCCCTGTGAGCAACATCCTAAGCTCGTGTCAGACAAATAGACCTATTACAGCGCTCCTTCAAAGAAACGTTTTCCCTAATAGTTTTGAGTGCCATCAAAGCGAGTAAAACTGCAATGGCTGTCCCGATGACTGCGGTTTCCACAGACAAGATGCAACAGGACTACGAAGCCGCACAACACACATCTCACAAGAACGTTATCAAAGCTTACTAATGACATCATATAGATAAAACAGACACATACAGGAAACGCAGCTCTTTCCGGAGTGCAAACAGGTCTTTCTAACAACATCAACGAACACACCTCACCACTCTGAAACACTCAAGTGCACGCTCACGCACTGACTCACTCTTTTACTTACTCACTCACTCACTCACTCACTCACTCACTCACTCACTCACTCACTCACTCACTCACTCACTCACTCAATCACTCACTCACTCACCACTATTGCTCACTCTCTGACACTCACTACACTACTACCCCTCCCTCTCTCTCGACCCCCCCTCCAATTATCTCTCCGCACTCACCCTGGACTCCTTCTTCCCCTCGACGTGAAACTGGTGCTGCGATACTGCGGTGAACCAGATATTGCGGCATGCCGTCTGTGAGGCGGCGAACCACGAGTAGACGCTGATGTGACCCGGGCCCAGCGTCCGGCGGCTCACCGATACTCTGGCGAGGGGGATAGCGGCGGTTAGCGGGGGTTTAATGAGGGGTGTGGCGGTGAAGAAGAGATGCAACGGGTATAGGAATGACCGGGGATAATAGGAGGTGCTAAAATGGAAGGCAGGGCAGGGTGCAGGGATCAGTACACAGGTCATGTGGATCATGTTATAGAAGAATGTAAACAGGTCAGGTCCTGAGACGTAGTTCAGCTAGGAAATAAATAACACGGGAGAGAACAAATACACTGCACAACGATGACAAAGATGGTAAAAGACGACAGACCTGAGTTCAGCTAGGTCAGAGGCGGCGACACGAGCCCAGCAGACTGAGACGAGATCGCCACACAGTACAAGATACCTTATCACAGACCTATCGCGACCCATCTTATCATCCCTACAAGTGCGACCGATACAGGCAGAGCAGTGCTATCAGCTCATGCACTGCTCTTCAGGAACTGAGCACAATGCCCATATCCGGATGTAACGGATTGATAGCGATGTATGCATGAGCGAGCGGAAGAACCTTTTAAATGCATGATTACATCATCGGGGTAGATAACAGCAAGCGTGTCGTCAGTCACAGTCCATTTAAAGGCACCGATTTGCCGATAGGGTGGCGTATGACTATCATGAAGAGTAAATAGTAATGATAGCTGTTGATAGGGCTCATCATGACTTATGTTTTTAGTTCAGTTGACTTTTGCCAGATAGCTGTTGAAATAAGGAAATATGTTGACTGCAGCGCGATGGGCTATATGGCAAGCATGGCTTATCTGCAGCCTCCATACCGTAACTGATTCATCTGGGAAGCTGAATTCATCCGGTAAAAACCACACGGCCTCTGAATCAACACCAACTGAATCATACGGCTCGCACCACACACTGAGTGTATTGCTAAACCAATAAACAGACCAAGAGCCCAGACAGTCCTACTGAGCTGCCGGTCATTCTAAACACTCCGCCGCCAATGCGACTAGTTAGTACACCCACCTCCTAACCGCACTGCAAGTCTTCCCGACCCCAAAGGTCTTTCTTTCTCTCCCCCTCTCTCTCTCTCTTTCTCTCTCTCCTCTCTCCTTCCCACTCCCCCTACTCACTGTGTACACGGATCAGAGATGGCAGAGACCAGATCGTCGCCCGAAGTATCGTTGCCGATGGCGTCTTCGTAAACGTTGAAGCTGCTCAGCGCATGCACCACTCTGCAGGACAGCGAGCGTCAGCCAAAGGGACAGACAGAGACGGACAGACGAACAGACGGACAGACGGGCAGGCAGGCAGCGGTCCGCGGTCAGCGCTTAGATAATGGTCAGGCAGCTCGTCAGTTAGCATACGGCCAGGTAAACATATACACAGAGGAGCGAGCACGAATGCGAGGCTACGAACAGTGCAATGAGGAGCTACTTTTAACGAAGACTGATGTAGTTGCATGGTAGGATTGGTAGGGGTGCAGGACATGGTTAGGAATCAGATACTGGGCAGATGAATGGTTTTGTGCTCATCTAGCACCAAGTACGTATGTGGGTAGGCTACGCACGATGTCGCCCAATATTTGCACCCTTCAAAGATCTAGTCATCAGCTTCACTGTTGTTACTTATCGTAACATCAAATCCAGCTAGCTTTTGAGAAAGGCTGATGCAAAAATTATCAACCAAATTATCTTTCTGTGGCAGCCCCATTCTCTCACATTGTGTATGGGCCTTTTGCCAAATAACTTCATGCTAGGTCTACAACATCCATTTCCGAATCAACAATCGACGTCGTATCCGCCTTTTGAAACTTCATTCCACAAGAGACGCTTCAAATCAGGTCACTAGTCCAAAAGTCATTTATCTGGGCACGATATCACATTGGGCCTCTTATCAGCGACAGCACAGCAAAGGGCCTCGCCGCCAATCAGTGTCCGTCCGTACACAGCACCAAGGTCTGTAGCACCGGCTGTACCTCAGCCCCTATCGGCCGATTCGCCGCGGCGCCCGAACTCGTCTGCCGGGTGTGTGTACCAGCGTACACCGGCGCTGATCGGAACCAATCCCATTCGTTCCCGGCCCGGGGAGATGACCGGCTGATACCGTGACACGCCGTAACGCGCGTAACGCTCGTGACGGGCGTGACTGCCGACGGCGTCTACTCGGTGCCAGTCAGCGGCGCTCGACCGACCCAGATACCCCGACCGCTGCGACACGGTGACCGGGAGGGTGTCCAAACACGACCCAGTTTCCGTGCCGCCCTCACACCCACCACACCTACAACCCTCTGCGACGGAGCCATTCAAGACGCAGCGCAAAACGGGCACCGCGGCGCGACGCAATGGAAGTGACGTGGGTGCAAGTGTGATCGTTTGCAATTATTGGACACGACAGGACCGAGATTACTGCGCGGTCCAAGGCGTAAAAGGACCTCTGCTCATTGGAAGTGTATGGAGGGTGGTGGGTGGTTGAAGCGTCTTGTGAATACGGATTAATTGCTCTATCAGTTCCACTGGATTAGGAATTCAGGTTTGATTGACGTGCAACATTCGGACACGAGCTCTCAAAGGTTGGCAAAGTAACAAAAAACAAAAACAAAAAACAAAATAGCAAACATTTCATCAAAAATAGCAAACATTTCATCATGATTGCACTGAGGGTTAAAAACTGATATAAACAGCATTAGCTACTGGGCTAGCATACATACAACAGTTAAATCGAGCTCAGCAACACGAACAGGCAGGATGGAGAGCATTCTCACTTTTTGGGCTCGTCGACTTCGATGGAGAAGCGCCCGTCTCGGAATGTGACGTTCTCCAACTGCTTCCACTGAAACAACTGCAACGGAAGGGCGGAGAGACGGTCAACGTACAGAGCCAAACAGTGAAGAGGGAGCAGCGAACATAAAGGAATTTCGGGGACAAATGTAATGAGAGTCACCTGGTTGATAAATCAACGGTAAATAGCACCTGCCTATGGTCAACGAGCCCTGCCATGACTCATTTCATTCTTGCATCCGCCAAAAACTGCATAGGTACTCAGAGAACCAAGAAATCGAAATGTAAGCAAACATTGGCACGCCTATTTTATCTTCTGTGGAATAGCGACACCACCATCTCTCTTACTAGTTAGGGGAAGTTGGGGGAACGCCGAATACTTTTTTTCTGACGCCCGTAGCACGCAAGGTAGACAACATAAGCTATTCTTGTTGGCGTCATTTGAGAGGCCAGTCTTTTGCCTTTCAAACATACCAGGCGCATTTGATGAATTCGCATACCGTTAAGCGCACAAACTAAAAATATCAAAGAAGTGATTTTTTCGGCGTTGCCCCGGACTGCGGGGAAAGCCGAAAATGGGAGAAATGATCTACGGGGAATGCCGACATTGATGTTTTGCCACTTAATCTCAAACTTTATCCAGAATTTATCAAAGCTGACACGCGTTTTAAGAGCTTGAGGACGCTTGGTGCACACTGGAAGTTATAATTGTGTGATATAATAAGAAAATGCCAGGTAAATAATTCCTTATAGGTAACAGGCCGTTGTGTCGGTTGAAAGTGTAATTTGTGTGACTAAAAATTCGCGTTGCTATTCTACAGCAGTAAAGTCCACGTAGCGTGCTTTAACGTGCGTAATTGCACGTTTTCGGCATTACCCCAGCCAGCCATACTTTCATTTGCAGGCCCATAACTTTTCAACGTGCCGTATAAATTTCAAATAGGCAGCACACTTATGCAAAGACATGCTGAAGATTACTTGACCGAATTGGCCAGACAAACGGTAGGATAATGAGTAAGAAATGCAGCTTCAAAGGCGCATGTAGTACAAGGAACGCGTACCTTGAAAACGCTCTTGGCGCCCTCACAGCCGAAGTATTCCGAATGACGACTCGTAACAAACATGCGATAATTGTAGTCACTTAAGCCTCAGAGCATCACTGACAGGTGGCATCCATGTCTTACGGTTTTCGAAATATCTCGAATTTCGGCTTTGCCCCAACTCCGGCATTGCCCCAACTTCCCCTACCTTCAACTACATCAACACCACACAGCACGCCATTGCCACAGTTATCGCCCTCATCATCACTCCCGACACTCACCCGTTTCGCCTTGGTGCGGTCTCCCAGCTCGTACTGGGCGATGCCTCGTGTAGAGATGCCCAGCCACCAGCCGCTCTGGCCACTCCGGTCACTGACACGGTAAAAGTGGATGCCGTAGGTGGGAAGACGCTCCACAATACTCAGGTACCTGCAGAGAGAAGTGGAGGTCAGACACAGGTAGATAGGGATAGACAGAGGTGGAGACAGGGGCGGGGTGTCATTTCACAGCTGATGAAGCCGATTATAATAAAAAGTGGAGGCGTTTAGAGCTGACGACGGTTACAGGTGGAACGCTCACAAAAAGTTGATTACACAAAAAATTACACATGTTACTTGATATCAGTAACGCTAGAGTGGGTTCTGAGTAAAAACATGGGCGATTTCACAGACCTGTAACCGAAACCACGCCTGGTCAGACCTCAGACCATCCGCTTCTATGGCATCCCATGACCCAGCTGGCCGCCCCACCAGCTGACCGCCCCACCAGCTGACCCACCCTCCCCATTAACAAGCCCCGGCGGAGCACAACTCCTAGAACCCACCGTCCCACCCGCAGTCCCGATTTCCAGCCACCCTCCCGCCCCGACCACTCCAGTCCGGCAGCCAGTCCCTCGCCCGACCTGCCAGCACGCCAGACGCCAGTCCGGTCCAGCAGGCACCCAGAACCGGTTTATACGCAGGACGCACCGGCGCGGCGGGCCGGCCCAGCCAGCGTCCCGAGCCGGCGCACCGACTGTGGACACAGGTGCGGTCCGCGGACCGCGACCCAGACGGTAACCCAGCTGATCTCTGACCCTGCTGACTGCTCTGGGAGACTGCGGTTGACCCGGGCGGCCGGAGAAGCGATTAGCGCGTCCCGCATACCGGCGTTCCTGGGAGATATGCGTCGAGATGCGCCCGGTGTTTGTGGGGAGTTCACAGGGGCCGGCGGGAGATGAGGTCGGAATCTTCGCTCACTAACGCCAGGCTGTTATCATCGGCGCATGTCACGCAGCTCGACGAAATTCAAACCGCTTGAAGATGTTCGCTGTTGTGGTGCTGTAAACCATCTCGCTTTGGGAATAACATCTCCAGAAATCCACGAGAATAACAAGCGCTACCTAGCTGAGCCTCAAAGCGGACGTCTGACTGGCAGGCAGGCCGCCAGGTCACGAAGTTGCTCCTTTCGCGCCCTCCGCTACCGTACCTGCCTGGCAACCCGACCCGGCCGCGTTCCGGCGCCGTCCGCCGACCGAGCGCCGGCGTGCCGCGCGGAGCACGCTCCATCCGCCCCCTCACATCTGGCCAGGCAGCCCGCGGCGTCTCGTACCTGCCGTACAGCCTCTGACAGCGGTCCCACGCAGCGGCGGCCCAGGTGCGCCGTACAGCCTCTGACAGAGGCGCCGGTCGGGAGATAAAGCGACTGCTGCACTCGGCGGGTACGGCCGGAGACCGGAGGGCGGCCAGATAGGAGGGACGACTTTATTGGTGGGTGCCGCAAGACGAACTGCGCGGACCGAGCTGATAAAGACACGGGGCGAAACAGTTCGGCGAAAGGCCAGGTCTGGTGGCTGCCCTGGAAGTGCTGATACGCTTGGAAATTATCGAGGCAGAATATGACTAACGACACTATGCAACGAGAAACCGTGAGCAAATGCTAACTGGAATGACCCTTATCTGGTCAAATCATGATGACCAAGTTGGATCCTTTGCTACCATGTCACGAACCGAATTCTCCAACATCATCCACGTTCAACTCTTACGATGCCTCCCTCAAAGCTGAGCCCGCCGCCACCAGCACACCTCTCGTCCCTGCAGCGCCCGTGCCGAGCACACGATGACGTGGCTGTTCTCCGTGCGGGGTCAGCCGGCAGCAGAGGCCTCTATCTCGCCTGGCGCCGTCGGGGGCGGCCTCAGCTCCGCCTGGGGTGCTGCCGGGGGCGTCGGCTAATCACCGTCACCGAGTGGCCGAGGATTAGCGTGCCGCAGCGCGCCGGCATCCTCTGATGGCCCATCGGCGGCCGCCCCGGGCTGGCCGCACGGGCGGCGGCGGTTTGGAGAAGATGGGTAGCCGAAGTCGACCGCCGGAGACAGCTACCAATGAGGAATGAACGCTTGCCTTGTCCGGCCTGCTGGTTGTTGATGGTTTCTCACTGGTCAAACGATGGACGTGTTTTATCTTTATTGTGTTGCAATCCAACGGCAACGGGCTGATAAGTGAACGCCACAAGCGAAGGGAAGAACGTATGAGCAGTCAGCATCCGGCTGTTGTGTCTGGTAAACGAAGTGCGGAGTAAACAGTACCTTGGAAATGCGTGATTAGACTTGGTCAGATGGGCCATACTGAGCGTTCAGGTAGCGCTCACTATTCCACGTTTTTCGTTGACCAGCAGAAACAACATGAGGAGTGTAGGCATTCCAGCCCGGTGGTCAAACCTGTTCCACCATGGTCGCATTTTATTCCTGCAAAACGTCCAATCAGCGCAACACGCCCGTCTTTTCCTTTCCCTTTCAACATGCTCAGCGTGCTTATAGGGAAAACTCCCCAGTCAAAAAGCGGCCGCCCGTTGTCCAGTTTTCCCACGTTTAGCCGTCGCAGTAGGTAGCAGCCCTGCCGCCACCGCTGCTGCCTAGAAGCCTCTGTCGAGCTACTCCACCACGTACAACGTGCTCGTGGCTGAGTCAGACGACCAGCCCCGCGGGGTGACGCACCACTTAAACCTTAGAGCGGTTACGTGTCACCGCTCTTGAATCAGGAGAACAGCCCGTGGGCGAAGCGACTCATGACAGCTGCGTGTAAGATAAGGAGACACTTCGTGACTCGTTGAGAGTAATAGTTGTCCTTTGGGTTCATACTGACGCACGATCTCGACTTACGCGTGTCTAGACGACGTGACCTGCACGGGTATCATAACCTCCGTCACTTAGGCGACCCCTGCACCTAGCTCTGCGTCTCTGACCTCCGCACCCCCAATGACCTCTCGCGACCTCTCTCTGCCGTGACCCAACAGACGCAGCCCCGACAAAAACTACTGAGGTCTGAAAAACTGCGCCGCGAGACTGACCGTTGTGACTCGGCCCGGCGTGTCAGAAAAAGGCGCACCGACCACCTGTGGCGTCCACTGCGCCATGCAGGACTCCCGCTCCGTCCCCGGGTGCACAGACAGCTGTCGGGCCGGACCAATCAGCCCGGTTAGCCCGGCAGAGGTCGGTCAGGGTCACCCAATGGTCCCGCGCCGCTAGACAAGTGGTCAGTCGAGCAAGGTCAGCGCAACTGCATGCCGGGACAGCGCAGCCACGCCCTCGCCCCGTCCCTCCGCGGCAGACCCCAATCCGATCGAGACTACACCCTACTCAACGAGATACCCTGTAAGAGCGAGAGCGGTAGCCTGGGGAAAGCGGCACTCTAATCTACCCCACGGCTACGTCAGCAGTGTTTTGCATGTACTCACTCCCTCCCTTTCAACTTAGAGGAACCAGAGAGGACAGTCCCCTCCCTGCATGCCACTACACCATGAACAACGCCCTTCTCTCGCCAGACATAGCTCGCCGCCCTCTAATTTACCAACGCCTAGCGGATCTCTCTATTCCTCTGGAACGCCCCGCAGATCTATCTCCTGGCACCTTTGACCACCACCGACGTCTACTGTGCACCGGTGTGCAGCGACGTGCAGCGATGTGCACACCTAGTGAGCCGGTGGACACTCCCGGGGCACTGACCGACGATCCCCCGGTACCCCAAATACCCGGTACTTACGAGACTATGGCGGTGCCGCGCGCCGTTCCAGTCAGCTGGCGGTACTCTTCAATAACCCGCTCCTCACTGAAACAGCAGAGAAAGACGTCGTTAGGGTTCACATACTTCTAAAGCTATACAGTCTGTAGCGTTATCTAGCACACATGGATCATTGGTCATCGGTCAAAGGCAGGGTGGCGCACCCCTAGCGGGCGCGGGGAACACAGGCCGCCGGCGTCGGCAGCCCTTTCAGGGAGACCACACACCACATTACACCACGAGACAAAGTTCACAATTGGCCCAACTAGAGGACTTCGCAACGCCTCAGAGACCAGGGCTGGCGTCCCCTGGTCTACCACCATGGATGCGATAACGCGCGGGGAACAGCCGCAATCCGCTAACCAAACTCTGTATCAGAGTTAACGGGGTGGAAAGGCGCAACAAAGATCAGACCGCGCCGCGGAGGGTCCGGGCCGGCCGGCCTGTCCGCTCCGGCGCGCGTCTGAGGTGCGATTTCACGGCTCTCGAGCCGGCGCCGACTGACAGCCGTGGACGGGCCGAGTTCTCACACCTCTGCGGCCGTCACTCGCGGGCGTGAGCCCTCCAGACGCACGGACAAAGCGCCGCGGCGGTGGCGACCACGGCCGGCACGCCGCCGCCCCCAGGCGGTGGACTGGGGCGTGGGCCGTGCCGGGAGGGCGCTCCAGCTGTGAGAACACGGCGGTGGTGCCTCTCATGCCGGACAGTGCCGTGTACAGCAGCGATGAATGGACGAAATCTGACACGGAATTCACGCGATGACTGAGACTATGGATGTCAAGTGGCAGAAAAGGCCCCATCAATGACCTATGGTATTCAGAAACTTGAAGACAAGAAAGCTGTACCCATTCCGCCGAAAGCATCGACATTTTTCACGTAGTTTGTCGTTCCACGGTAGCCAGTAGCATGCCTCAGCGATTTTTTGTCATACAACATACCACAAAACCCGTAAATGTCTCTCACGTTCTAAATGAACCGATACCGCCTCCGAAGTCATGCATGAAGCGGAGGCATGGCACGTGACATGGGAGGTGGTCTGCTGCACTACGACACGTCACCGGTAGTGGGGCGGAAGGACCGGCCGCCAACGGTATATCTGGCGTCTTGCCACACCGCCCGAAATTCAAAGAATGGTCACAGGTCAGTGCTCTCCAATCTACCACCACCACTGGGTCACCGGACGTCCGCTGACAGACAGCCAAAAGGCCAGAGCCAGGAGCCAAGGATATAGTTAGGGAGTCGAAGTCAGAGTCAGTCAAGGAGTCATCTCGTTAGGAGCCCACAAAGGTGACAGGGTGAGACGAACCAACAACGGAGCGTTGTGCTTTCTCGACGTGCCGAGGAAACGCACGCACAGAGAGCTCTTTGTTCTGATCTCGCAGCTATTCGCTATCCCAGCGTCGCACAAAGTACAGCAACCGCATTCAACAACACACACCATTCCATTTACAAACAGTCGACATTGCCGTCCCCCAATGTCCATGACACCGACACTCGACAGCGTCACATAGACACCGTTTCACCGGACACGGCGCGTCACCGGGGGCGTTTCGCCACATTTCCGGCTGGCGTGACTCACCCGATGACCGCGTGTCGTTCATTCAGCCAGCGAGGCACACAGCTCTCCATCTATCAGCCGGGGTAGATTGGCCAACGGGAAAACCACTCGGGTCGGCGATTGGGTGTGACAGTCGGCGAGAACCGCCGACAGGGCAGGGACGGTATCTGGCGGACATCTCGGCGCCCGGTAGATATCTCGCGATAAATCTGAGCGCCCTTGCGTCCCATTCGGGCCCAGCTCCCCAGCGGGTCGCACTGGGAGTAGCGGCTCCCTCTTCATCAGGGGACTCAGACTGAGTCACCCCGTCGACTGACTCAACTGACTAAGCGACTTCTCTCCGGCGACTCTGTGCGGGAGTCCTGAGAGGTCAAGTCCCGACATCGCTCAGCGGACGTGACAGAACAACAGTTCGATTTATCACCACTTCATCTACTACAGTTCGGGCTTTTTCTCCGAGCCGGCCACAGGGTCTCCCATTGAGCCTGGCCTTGATCTGTCTCCTTCGCGCCGCAGGAGGTACAAGTCCCGCGGATCGATCCAGCTCCGACACATGAATGGCCAGCGCAGCGTGGGAGTCAGAACACTACAGGTAGGCGAGGCCAGCGCGGTCAGTGGTTGGCATGGCAACGGACGGAGATAAATTTTGCGGCCAGCAGTATGGCAACCGAGGAAAATAAATTCGCTGGTTGTTCGTATCGGTGCGAAGAGGAAACCTGTCTGAGAACGATTGTCGAAAGAGAGACAAATGGAGACACAGGGAGACAAACTGAGACTGATCGGATATCCAAGTGAGTAAATCTAAATAAACGGCTGCAAAGGAGCAGGTTCATGGTCAACAGGGACTGGTTTAGAGCATTCCCTCAGTCCGTAGACAACGAAATGATTTAATGCCTGTCTGCTGTCCAAAAGTCAGGGATCTACTACACCCCGTAGAGCCACCGTCCGTGGCAACCACGGTAAGCTGGGAAACAGCCATGTTCGTTGCTTGGCATCAGGACATAGGACATCCAAGCCGGATGGCAACCTTAGAACAATGGCGTGCCGTTAGAGTTTGAACTAAATCAATGCGGCCGTTCGTAAAAATGACCTCAGATACAAGCGCTCATTTCAATAATCTGATTTCGTTCAACCGTCAACTCGAAGCCCTCGCGTTCAATTCAAACGTAGGCAGATTCGGCTCATGAATCTTCTCTGCGTCGGGCGGCCCCCTTGCAGCCAGTGGCCTATGCGAGGATGCGAGCCGACAGTAATCCTCCCTGAGCACGCACTTCCTGTGGTCCCGGCACCTCGGCTGGGCGTCGCACCTGGTCGCTCAGTCCCCCCAGCTGTCCCCACCGCCACGGAGGACAGTGTGAGGACGCGCGAGGACATCCGACGCACGACAACCGTCGTGCGTAATCCCTAGCGACGAGTAATGACGCGTGTCTTGATCGGAAACTGGGGCTTCGCCCTGTTCCATAAGCTTTTCCTGTGTCCAGTGAGCTGTTACTTGTGGAAGCCCTTGTAACGGTTTGCTGCTGAAATAAAGAAAACGGTACTTGGGTGAGATTTCACGCAGCTTTCCTGCTTTCTGCGACTAGAATGCACCCAGCTCACGTCATCCCACCGTAGTCACAGGACCCCACCACCACCCCCAGCTCTCACCCATGTCGCCGGTGCACGGGGGCCTCAACTCTCACACTGTAGGGAGAGCGTCGCCGGCTCGGCGCAGCGCGGCCGTGCCCGGCGGCAGCAGCGGTCATCTGCAGTCGCCGCACGCCCCCAGCGGCTGCCGGCCGACATTCCTTGCCGCTGACCGGTGACCAACGCCAACCAGCGCTCTCACCGCCCGGCCGTCAGACGAAACCGCCGACATTCGCACGTCAGGACATCAATCACTGCTGGAGGCTGGGACCAGAGAAATGAGGAACGCTCGAGACCGACCCAACCGGCTGCCTCATTATCCTTCCTTTGATTTAACGATGTTATTTCTTCTTGTATGATTCAAACACACAAAGTAAACGCTCCGGCAGATGCATTCGCCCCTACCTGCGTACCCCCTGTGGCTGTTACCCCTTCAGCCCTAATCCGGCGGGATTCACCCTTCCTTCCCACCAGCTCCCTCCATTGCCTGCCTTTCGTCTCGCGGTGGTATGCATAGCCAGCTAAATGACGCTCATCACCGCACCGAACACCCGCGCGCTGAATCGGCCCGGCGCGCCGCACTGCGCCGAATTAAAATGATAATGCGCCGCGATCGTGTCACGTAGCGTCTGGTCTCATCGGGCCGCGTCTCCGGGTCGCCAGGCCGGCCGGTCGGCAGGAGGCATCTGCATATGAACGGGCGCCGCGTCACGGGCCATTTCACGGACCGGTCGCCGCCGCGCGCCGCGCTCGCCGCAACCCGTTCGCGCCGCGCCGCACCTCGTCTCCGCAGCCGGCGGCGAACGGCGTGCGCAGCCAGTGCTGCGTTTTTACCAGCTCCGTCCGCCAGCTATCCGGACAGACAGGCACGCGGCGGGACCGGCAGCAGGGAGCCGAGACTGGTGAACGCGCTGGGCCGAGCGGCGGTGACTGGAGGGACCGCGACCGGGGAGGGCACAGGCGCGGCGCGGCGCACAGCGGCGGCCGTCAGTTTTTCTGCAGCAGCCGAGCTATGCAGCACCCCAGGCGGGTTCATGGAACTAAAGCATGGATGAAACGAATGGTCCCGACGAGAGGCATGACAAATCAGAGACAACGAGAGGGCTGAAGTCTGTGATGCTCCCTGTTCTTCCTACAGACCCATACGTTATGCATGCTCCAAACTCCAAAGACCACCATCGGGCCCATCTCGACCGGTCGTCCCTCCCACACAGGTGCCGAGGATGCAAATTTACACACGGGCGCCATATCTGCAGCGGTTCCTCGGCCGCTGGCAGTCGGGGAGGAGCCGCGGAGATGGCCGGTCGATATGCCGTTAGTGCCATACCGACCGCCTGTGGAGCTGGGCGGACGCGCCGCACCGCCTGCCGTGTGCTCTGATGGGGAGTGCGCCGCGCCGATCTCAGTCAGGTGCGCTGGGCGGTCAGCCTCTGGGCTCTGCAGTAACGCTCATAGAGCCGCCGAACTGACCGGCACGCCCGTCTCAATGACATCTGCTGGGGCGGACGGAGCGCCACAAGCAACGGCGGGCTCAGAGCGCAGGATCGCTGAACAATGCCTGCAGCGGCGGCCGAGATAGCACAAAGGCAGTGCAGCGCAGAGGACTGACTGCAACCATAGAGTTGGTCCGACGCAGTACGGCTCAGTCAGAGAAATGCCTGAAGGCAAGGCTGCGAGGCTTGAGTCAGCGCTGGATAAATGTGCATTGAGGCTCGGTATCGTGCCTCGTGTGCAGGCGAAGCACATTAATTTCGGGACCGCACGCCTTTGATGTGGCCCACGCACATCATTATTTTCAGACTGTAAAGGAAATTGAGGAGCTTCCGACTCATAAATCAAGCATAAACGTTACAGATAGCATCGC